ACACCCTATCCCCACCCATCATTCCCGCCACCTATCCACCCTGCGCTGCCCCTGTGGTACTAAAAGATATTAAATTGTTTCAAAACATATTTTTTTAATATCAATTTTCAAATAATAACAATAGAAATTATTTTTTTAAGAAAACATTTTCCTTTCTACCAAATAACAAAAAAAATGATTGGAAAATAATATTTCTTGGAAATCATTTTCCTTTGGAAAGAATTCTTCTAGGAAAATATTTTCCCCATAACAGAACACAACCTAAGTTTACATGTATAATGCACGATACTGAGAGAATATCATCTTAGTACACCTTACGTTGGAGTTCACCATAGTCATTGGATTTATCCATATATTTCTGGGTTATATATTTGAAACTGTCCTCTAATTTTTTGTTTGATTTTGATGATCTAATCGTAGTGCAAGTTCTGCACGAAGACTGGAAACTTGACCATGGTAACTGGGCATGGCCACCCACTGACCCAGGAAGCTAGTGAGTCAAGATCATTTACACCTGCAATGGTCTTTGACTGCAGGGGTTTTGAGCCATTGCAGTTTCACTTTGGGGGTGCATGGCAGGCTGAATCTGTAAGTGCTTCTTCCTTATTTTATCTGTTTTTTATTCATTCTTTCTTTCTTATCTTTGTGCTAGCTAGAATTGTCTGCTGTCTTGGCCTAAAATATATTGAATTACGTATTTTTTTTCCCTTGCAGATTGAAGGAACAAAATTTGAGGGCTTTGAATTGAGTGATGGGGAGTACTCTGATTATGATGAGAAGGGGAAGTGTCCAGTCATGATTTCAAATCTTCGTGCCGATTTTGTCCGGGTGGATGTGAACAAGTGTGTGTGAATTGCGTTTGGAAAGTTTTAAGTATTTTCCCTAGTTAATTCTATAGAGTATGTACTTAAAAATATACATGAAGTTAGATCAGATAATCTGATGTGATCGTAGTTATATTTATTTTTTTTAATTAGGTCTGAGATTATTGGGTTTGATATTGATCTAATTTTAATAAAAATAAGTATTATGATCACAATTACTTACGGGAGTTGATATCTACACTCCACAATTTACTAGTCGCACTCCACATTTTTTTACTTTTTTCATATATTGACAATATTGCCCCTTTAATTATTGTTTTTTCATCCTACCCAAATGTTTTTCCTACATTTATACTTCACAAAAATAGGGAAAAAAATGAACCGAGTATGATTATGTAAATAGTAACAAACAATCTAATTTGGAACGGAAGAAGTAACAATTTGTAACTAAAGTTATGTTTAAAAAGATAAATGTTTACACATTATTCAAAAGAGAATGAGATTTTTTTAGAAAAGAGTAGATTTGTTTGCAAAAAGTTTGTCTAGGAGGAATGGGGTAAAATGAGGAAGAAGCATCTCTTATTAAAAGGGCAATATGTCATCAACTCTATAATTCTCATCTACATAAATTTCAACTGCATAGTTTTATATTATTTTTCGTTGTACTTTGTACAAAAAGCAAATGAAAAAATTAAATAAGAACAAAAAGAGTATAACTGAATGTAAACTCTTTTTCACTCAGTAACTCTTTAACTTCTGTAATGAAACTGTATTACAAAAGAATATCGTAAGTATTGTCTAACATTATTAGGCTGTTAGAAGTACCCTCCAGCACAGTAATACATAAAATTACTATACAAAAATAATAAAATAAAACTTTAAAAACTACCACCAGTGAAACTAGCTTCTACCACTATATTGACCACCAATGTTACACAAATAATTTGAATTCACCCATGCAAACTGATAGAGCTAAGAATAACTACTAATTTACCTCCTTTTGTAACATAATATTAATGTCTATTATGTGCCTCGAGATTTTCAATCTCCAAGCTGTCAAGAAAAAACAATATCTGCAAAAACAATGTAAGGGAAATCAATTAGGAATGAAGAAATCAATCAATTTTCATTTTTTTTTCAAAAAAAAACTTTATTTGTGCACCAAGTGTACACAAACTAAGATTTGCAATAAAAAGACAATTCATCTATGGCACATACAAAATGTGTTTGACACGCACATAACTCATTTGTGTCACAGATGAGTTGTGTATGTTCAACAAAGACAAGTTATGTATGTGTAATGCGGAATTGGATGGTGTACATTTGATGTGCACCATCCTGGTGTACGTCTAGCATGGTTGTGGATAATAAGTTAATAACATGAAGAATGTCTCAATCAACATTCACAAACCTTGTTTTGAAGCTTGAGACTGAGTGCATCAGTGGCCAGCACATGAACACCAAGAACACTGTTATGGGGGGAAACACAAAAGGGGCAAAAGATGGAATCAAAGACACATCCATCTTCTTTACACCAAATCCCCTGTCCAGAAGAAGAAGAACCTTCTTCAAGAATGCGCCGATTGAGTGATAATGTGTCACACGCCAAAACCTCCACGCCTTGCACCGATGGATTGGAGTTGTTGTGTAGAGACATCAGATGAACTTTTGATGTTGAAATTAGCCTACACTTCATAATTGAAAAATTTTCAGGAAGACCCAAAGGGGTTTTGCAGCGTGAGCAGAACAATATTTTCAGCTCAGAGGGTGTTGTTGGTTCCAACTTGCTATATTGCTTCGTGGAATGATTGCATGTCTCCTCTTCAATGACTGAACCTGTCAAGCTAGTATACCTATCAGACATTTTAATGGGGGACAACCCGGTCATTTTTCTTCTTTTGCAGGTAGCATTACAATTGACACTCCAGGAAGTATCTGCTTCAGGTCTTATAAAATCAGTAGCTGTAGTAATAGTAGCAGTAGGAGGAGGGCTTGAGCAATCATCTCTTTCAGGTGTATCGTCAACAATCAAGATTTCAAGATCGGTTTGAGCTTCACCATATTTTGCAACTGGAACCGGTAGATGACTATTTGATCCGACTTTTGGTTGGTTTGTCAATTGACTACTACCACTATTATTATTATCGTTGTTGTTCTTCCTATTTGCCCAGTTTTTCTTATCCACGGGATCCTGTGATGGATTCACTGATTTCCCCTGCATTCGCATACTTTATTATCAGTGCCACCAATATATTGCTTCAGTCTTAAAATTATCTTCCAAGTTTGACTTGGCGTGCTTATTAGGAAAATGAAATAGTGAGGTTGAGGCTCATTTAGAATGATAGAAAAAATATAAACCACACAAATCTTTAGTTGGTGGGAGCATTTAGTTGATGGGAATGAGAAATGAGAGGGAATCGGGATGGGATACACACCTCAAACCTTCTAAACCACTCATTCCTAATTCCAAACTCATACTAGAAAATGAGCCAAAACATTCCCTAATACCTTCACATCTTTGAAGAAGGATTTCAAACTATCCAGTGAATCCTCAAACCTGCTGTACAGCCTAATCGACTTTCGCAGCCACTTTGATATGTGCGCTCTATTTCGGTTCTGATGCAACCTCTCATCTGTATGCAAAAGGAAACAACATTTTGCAAATGTACTTACAAAACCGCAAAGCACAATTTCAAAATTACTAATCTGTATTTTGAATAAAGAATTAATCAGCTTCTCCACCCTCCACATGGTGGAANAAAACAAAGGCAGTGAATTGGTGGGGAGCATTGGTATGTAAGACACTAGGTGCCAGGCAGGCAGTGGAGGATTGCCCAGCACCTAGAAATAACAGAACCACCAAAGAATTGAATGTACAATTTGATTTGCTTAAAGTCTAATATAAACCTCTGAATCAGAAAAAAAATGAAGTTAACCACTTATCCTTACCTAAGAAGATGATAGCTCCATAGTCAAATCTGTGCCGTATGCAGCGGCCTACAACAAATACAATTGAAGATGTAGGTATCAGGCCGTAGAATTTATATAACAAGGAACTCAAAGTTCTTTTGGTGGTGGGGGTGGGGGGGGAGGGGGAACCGAACAGTAAACCAAAAGAAAATACTAGCTGTATTACTATTCTGTCAGTTCTTTTCCCAATCTGTTGATCCTTGGCTAAAATAATCACCCATACTTTATTAAAGAGCACTAACAAGATGCTTGCTCAAGAAAGAAAGAAAGAAAGAGATGCAAAGCATAATAACAGTTTGAGGGTCTTTGTGAGTGCTTTTGATGACTGATTCTTAGCTTCTGCATTAGATAAAAATATAAAAGTAGTTTGGTAATGTTTAGTGGTGCTTTTGGTGCCTGGTTCATAGCTGTTGGTAGAGATTGAGAAGCAGCAATGAGGCGTTTTGGATCCTATGGTTAAAAAAAATCACTTTTTGATAAAATAACTTTAAGTCCCAAATACCCACTCTGTATACACTAGATATGGTCATCAACTACCCCTACAAGCATATTTTATTTTATGCAGATTTTTAGGTAGCTATTACCACAGCTTCATTTGGTAGAACAAAATCCCAATATAATCCCAATTCCATTACGGTATGGGGGTCAAGATGTACCCAACCTTACCCTTGTGAAAAACAGGGAGGTTATTTCCGAATGCAATGCTGAATTCACTACTCACAACGTCATCAAAAGTAAGAAACAGAGAAACTTTAATTTTCCGTTTTGATTTACTCCATTATTTACCCAAAACTAAAAGATTGACAATAATGACTCTTTTATCTCTATTGAAAATGCACAAAACCTCACTTGGTAGAGAGAACAGTTTTCAATTTCATAGGGTAAACTTTTTGGTAATAAATAATATCATCAATAACAAGAGCAAAAATGAGGAATTAAATCTAAAAAATATTTGCACTAAATAGCACTAAAACTTAAGTCATTTCTCTAAATAGCATTTAAACTGTTTTATTCCCTAAATAACACTTGATAATGTTCAGAAGGAGGAATAATGTCGAACATTTACTTGAATAATGACTAATAGATAATGACTAAAAGTGTGACATTGGAAAAAAACACATATGATGCTATTTAGGGAAAGTCATTATGTTTTAGTTCTATTTAGATAAATTCCCCTAAATCTAATAAATGTATCCTCTAAAAAAATCTAATAGATGTTAATATAAGGGTTGTAGAGTTTGTGTAGTTGTGTTGTTGATGTTCTCTTTTTTCCTACTCACACTACATTTTTACTGTTTGTTGGTGGTCCTCTTATAGAAACATCCTCTCTTTGGCGTAGAGATAAGGTCTATGTGACCCATGATCATACTTTTGAGTCTTGAGTGAGATATACTTGGTTTGTTTTATTTGGTTCAGTTAATGAATCTTACCATAGGCAGGTGATGTGAGAAAGATAACAGAGCAGAACAGATGAAGATATATAAATTTTTAAGAGGGAAAAATCAATAGAGAACAAACAATATCACTGTCAGTGTCGTCTGTGCTAGAGGTCAGATAAAATATTTCAGTATAATGATAACGTGAACTAGCTAGTAGCTAAAAGAACTACCTGTAGCCTGGTTTAGCGCCCTAAAGGCTTGCTGGCAGTACCACTCATTCCCATTTAGAAGGTTTTTTGATAACGCATGTATGTCGTTGAACTTCTTCTTCTGTGAGATTTTAATGTCGTAACTGTTGAAGGCAATAATGAAAGATATCATAAATGGACACCATTCCTAATAGCAAGTATATGACAGAAGAAGATCCATACAGATTTGGAAAGGGAATCCCAATAACCACCTGAGATAGTTAAGGCATAACATTTGACAGGGCAGATCTAAATTCAGATGACACAAAATACAAAGTTCACCAATTAATTTCAATGCGGACAGACATCTCTCTCTACAAAACTTAATGCCTACCACAATCACTAGACAAGTCGCAAACAAATAAATAACAGAGCAGAAATTTAATCTCATCGTGAAAGCAAAATGTGCAAGGATACAACCGCTCGGGCATTGTCATCCGAGAAATTCATTCCTTCAGATGCCTGCAAAGATTATGTACAACAGTGAACTTAAGCATGCTGAGACAAAGTTGCGCAAAAGCACAATTTCTGAAGCAGATATTTCAGAGAGTAGAACAAAGAGGTTGTCATAAACAAGAAAAAAGTATTATCCCAACCTGAGTTTGATGACATTAAAAATTACCAATACAGATCTCTATTTCTAGTTAGTTTTCCTATGTTCTAGAAGAAGCAAAGAAGAAACTTATGTGCATATGTGACTAATCAAGCTTTACTAAAGTCAGTTGTACACTTTAATTATGAAACTATGGTCGCCTATTTCTCCAGTGCACCAAACACTCCCGCGGGGGTAGGGTTCAGAAACATTGTAACTGCGTGCAGCCTTCACGTGACAATATTTTCTAAGCTGTTTTTTTCTTGGTAGGCCGTGGACCTTCTGATCACCAAAACAACTAATCTGTTACTCCCCTGCCCTCGTAGCAAGAAACAATGCCCTTACATAACCGTGATTTTAATGAAGTACAAAAAATCCCTTTGAAACATAGTCTCCTCCTATAAATAAAATGTCGTGATTGCCAATATAAATGGGTTGCATGGCCACACTTTGCATATAAAAAAACAGATGCGTTCTTAATCTTTAGTTTTGATATGCTCTAATATGCTTTGGAACATCAACTGTATCCTATCCTATCAGATTCTTTTCACAAATAAATTTCAGCTGAAAAGAGAATAATTTAGTATGGAAGACTACATTGGAAAACCCCATGTTATAAAGGGCTGTTTAGAGAATTCACTCTAAAATAAATCAAAGTAATGGCCTGAATCACCTTGCCTCGACAAACTGCCAAAAAAGCTGCACCTTCTGTTTTTGTATCTTTCATGGACTCCATTCCTTTTCCCTTTTTAAGACCTAATGATTTACCTCTTATCTTTCTTCCGCTCATCCATCCTGTTCCTCTATGAATGGAATTATAGTAATCCTTTAAGACAACCTCAAAAGAATCTTGGCATTTACCTCTTGGCTCTGAAAGCAAAAGCACAAGAATCAGTTACTGATACTAGGTTGATATAAGCAGTAATTCATTTCAAGTATGAGAAAGGAAATGGCATGTTTTGTATGTGTGTTAAAGATTCACACACAAACCCTCCCCAGACCTTGCGGGATTCAACTGGGTTGTTATTGTTGTAGCATCTTTACAAGCAATTAAAAAAATCATGTTGTGAGAGGATAAAGAGCTGAAAAAGATTACCAACAAAAATGGATTTTTGAGCATTTAATCGAGACCATTGCCCTGTTTGTTTCCACCGAATGGTTACTTTATCCAGCAGCTTGTAGCTAGGAAAGAAAACCAGGCACCCACCAGGAACAACCTTGCATATTTCCTCCAAAGATGTACCAACTGCATCCTTTTTGTTACAAGAACCCAGCCAATGTCATGCAAACACACACACACACATATACACTAGATATACACACCAAGAAAAATTTTTTCAGCTTCACTAAAAAATAACACCTGGAAAGAGTACTCTTCTGCAGTTTTGTAACTTGCATTGAGTGGATAGTTACAGGGACCATTGGCAATTGCAGCTGCCCATACCTGTAGAAAATGGTGGTCAAGATCTCATACACAACAGAAAGATTTAATTTCCATAGGCATAGACAAGCTGAGAATCATAACTAAAAACTAAATCACCTGTGAATCAACATCTATCACATGTGGAGCTTCGAGACAAGTACCAAACTTGACACCAAGTTCAGATGAGAAAGTACTCAGGGGTGATAGAGTCCTGTGACAATAACAAAACAAGAATTCATTTGTCCAAATATTCATTTAGTCATTTACGTAACATGTGACACTGAGAATATTGAAATGTTAGTAATTTTAGTATTTTACAATACTATTGAAGTTCATTCATACTTTCTCAACATACTAAAGCACAGAGGGTCAACGTCCCCTCTGGGTTCAAACTTGGATGAGCTTTCCATCTTAGTATTTAATCAATGTGTGAGCTAAAAACTCTTTTTCCGGCCTTATAATGTTTGGTTGAAGTAGAACTGCATGTTTATGCAGAATTTGGAAGCAGTGGCTAACCATATTGCAAACAGCAGATGTCCAGTGCCCTTTTGTGAGCATTATGACACTTCAGGGCTAGTAGAGATGCCCAAATTGAAATCAAAGGGAGTACAGGTAGGATATTGTTCTCTTTAAGGTACTTTTTGCTTAATATTTATTCTAATTTTACAAAGATTGACCACATCAGACTAGACAACACCAGAAAGATTTAGATCAGACTAGCAGACCAGATGTAATACTTCATGCAATTAAAAAAACAGGATTGGAAAAGGCTAGGCAAAAACATTCAGATGACAAGAGTAGATTTTAAAAAATTCAAACAAGCATCCAGATTAGGCGAAGAGAACAGTTCCTACGTTTGTAACTGAAACTGTGAACTAGACACATTTCCAGTAAATGATTAACCAGAAATACCATCGCTTCTAGAAATAACCTTGAAACAATTATTACCCTGAAGTAAGGATTATGGATTGTGAAAAGCTGGCAATGCTTTTGAAAACAACAGCTGGGTTCATGCACCACAAGCTGAATGTGTTTGTCCAACCACCTGCACCAATCCTTGTACAATAATTAAATTTTGCCGCTGAGCACACAAATAAAACTTTCAAGCTTACTTTTCTGAACAGTCAACAGTACAAACTTTTATGCATATAATTATTAATTTACAAGGAGTGTCAATACTTAATAGTTCCTCAATATCAACTCAACTTTATCTTGCAACCATGAAAATGAACACGGCTAGTACCTCAAGTCCAGCGTATCATTCATGTTTTCCTTTTCGCAAGAGGGACAAAATTTTGAAAGTGCCATTACATATTAAATAATAATTCTTCCAAACTTATTTTAATGTGAAACATATCAAGTTACACAGCTACTTTATCAACTCATACCGAGAATCTCATGAATTGTGCCACCAAATGAAAGATCAAATATTCTGACAGGAATCACTATAAAAAATATATCACACCTGATCTGTATTATTTTTGCACTAATTATCAATTTAAATTTTGCAAAATCTTCACCTAAATACACATAGCTTTGTTTGAGAGATTGCTTCCCATCCACAACCATTCATCGCACACAAAAAAAAGAAGATCCGCATGATTCAAAGAATCCTTGGAGCAAATAGTGAAATAAAAAAGTTTGGTCTCCATCATGAACAAATATTCTATACTTACAAAATGGAGCTTGACATTCACCCTAAGTAGTTGTTAAAATAAAGTGCAATTGCAGACTTTCATACAATCTTTCAAGGAGCTCTTGTATAACAAATTTTATGTCTCCATACTTCTCTTAGTATACACATAAATATCCATCTTGCTGGTATGACTAATGTCAGCTTAGACTATGTGAAAGCATACATGAACAATGCACAAATGAACTACAAAGAGGACAGAAATGCAAGCTTCAGTATCCTTCATAATCTGATATACTCCCTCTGTCCCGCAAAAACATTCCACGTTGGACCAGGCACAGAGATTAAGAAAAGTGAAATAGCGTGGTTGAAAGTGGTGGAGAGGAATAATATGACCCACAAAAATCTTTCCAAAAGTGGGAAGTGGAATTTCTTTTAGAATGGACAAAAAACGAAAATGTGGAACCTTTTTGTGGGATGGAGGGACTGGTTAAGAGTAGAAAACTTAGTATTATAACACGATTAAATGATGTTATCACTGCTCACCTTCATCTTTCTTCACAAATCTTTGTAGTGATAACACAAAATCATGTGCATGGATGGCATTCCCAGAGAAGAAGTAATTGAGTGAAGAGAACAATCCTGTATGATACTCATGATGCCACCAAAAAATAGAATTTCACTGCAGTAAATATGCGAAAAAAATGAAAATAGAATCAAATTACCTTCTAATGTAGTTACTGCCAACCCACTTAAATGAGAAACATCTGGTGCAGCTTCTGAAGCAGCTTTAAATGCCTTCAGATAAACACAACCATCACAGTAAGAGATTGCATGGTGGCAAAAATGACCTAGCAATTTGCATGTAAACTAGCATGGGAAGATTCATCAAATTGAACTTTACTCAGTACTGTTTTTTTAAAGTACCTCCTTGGCACATGCTTGCAAAATTGGGAAATTCTGCACTGATATATTAGCTTCTTGTAGCTCTTTTAAAGCCTTATCTCCAGTCCAACTGAATTGGTCATAATAAAATAATAATACAAAAAAAATCATGAGATGTAGGATTTTTCTTGGAAAAAGAATGCAACTTTGTTTGAATGTCAAAGGTGTATGGAAATGAATTTATCTAAGTTTATAATGTTTGTTTATCTTCTTTGAATGAGCAAACAATAATTAATATTTAACTGGGATAGCGTTAGGTGGCATCTGGATTTAAAAGTAAGTAAGAGGTTCTTACTGATAGCCTCATATTATAAAATAGTGGCAAACACAATGCAGAATATATAACTTAATTATAGCTTCTTTAGTTTCAATCCAAAAAATAGAGTTTGGGCCTGCACTTTGAATAAAAATTTATTCCACTTATGGCACCCAAATATAAGTCCCATTATTGTCCATCCCATTAAAGAAACTAGGCTTCTTTTTTTGGCAATTTCCTTTGTTGCCAGGCTGATTTGAAACTTGGAGGCAGACAGAAGGTAAACTTCCATGCTCTAACAGGATAATGCATACCCTACTAACAAATAGTATTAGGATCGACATGCAACAGCATCTTTTACAACATACTTCAACTTCACATCAGCTGTATAAGTTTAAGGATGTCACCAATCAGGGATGACAACAGCATGACAGCATACTACCAAGACACCCAAAACCAGGACAGAAAATCTCCAGGCTTATTTAGCTTGAATTTAGAACAAAAGATGCAGTTCACAAACCAATATAAAAAAAAATGGCCATCCCTCGGCAGTAACAAAATATTTGAAGCTTTGAGTTCACACTTCATAATATTCTAGAAGCCAGTTGGCAACATGGATCACTAACAAAACGGAAGATGATAAGGTATCATCCCTATATTAGTAAAAACTAACCAACAGAAATAGTGCTGAGACTCATGTTTTACCAAAGCATCCTTTCTATGGTCAATCCAACTCAAGATGTCCTACAAAAATTAAAAGAAGTTTGAACATAGGCACAAGAAGTTTAGGAAACAATAAAGATGTTCTATACTCTTATGTTAAGAGCAGCACCTGTGTCATCTCAAACAAAGGCTGGTAAGTCATGTCATTATTGAGACTCAGCTGTCCAAGTTCACTCTGCAACCCTTTAAAAAAACACACAAATCAATCTGAGATACAACACCTAATCAATTTATAAAATTCAAGCTTGCACTTACCCAGCAAAACTTCTTCGTCAAGATCGATACTACCAGCATCACGAGCTATGTCTTCTATGTTACTGGATTAGTGGTTGGAAAGTTAAATTTCACAAGATGACAAACACTTAAGGAGATAAGTTAAGGTATAAACCAAATAGCTTGTGATCACATAACTTCACTACACGAAATCAAAATTCTGTGAAAATTTTAATTTGTTGAGTTGCAAATTAATTAGTACATTCATAAATTTGTTCTCACATGGCACATAGCTTCAAAGAAAATAATGGGGCCTTTTCCGCTACTATCTCTGTATTACTTTATGAATAAGCACAAACACAGTGATAGGTTTGTAGCAACTTAATAATTATGGATCAAGTAGATTTGACATACTGTGCTTCGTCTAATATGATAATGCTCCCACTAATATCAACTTCCATTGCCTCTCGAATGATTGGATTGATGATATAGTTATAAGGGCAGAAGACAAGTTCTGCATCTTGTGCCATTGATCGCGCTGCAAAATATGAACAGCCTGCAAATGGAATACCCCTTTCAGGGATGTACTTAATTAACTCACCAAGAAGATACTAACAAAGAAATGAGTAGAAAAGGACCTTTAACTACTTGGCCAACTTTGACAAGGTCTTCTATATCATGGACCTCATGGCAACCTCCTTTTTGTAGAGAAGGATGGCCTTTGACTTTAGGAACATTTCTGAAAAGTAACGTCTATCAATGAGCTCACTGACATTGCGTGAGCACATAGTAGAATTGTAGAATATGACATAGTATACCTATATAAATTAAACTTACTTGAATTCAGGGCAGGTATCTTCTTTGTTCTTCTTCTTCAATAGCACTTTACTGAAAATTTAAACTATTGTTAGAGCAGGAAGACAAACACAAGAAGTTATTCATTTTTCAAAGAAAAAGAATCAACCATTTTTCGTTAACGTTCTCTTCACCCCGTATATGGGGGTTTGTACAATAATGTTTCCTTGATCCCTGGATGGAAAAAAAACAGAATAAGCAAACAGACAAATTAAACACAAGAAGCATGTCAATGCATGTGTTTGAGAATGTGTTTAACTCTTAGAGCAGGCCATCCACTAAGGGCAAAATTTAAATGCCATTATTATTTATTAGGTTTACAAATTCTTTGCCTTGCCAAAAATTACTAGTCCAAGTCTAGTAGTGATATGAAATACCTACATCCATGCCAAATTATGTGACATAGCCCATATCCTGGTCAGTAGTCACAATAGTAGATTAGCAAACAAACTTGGGTTTAACTGGGCACACATTTCAGATTAGATAGGATGTATAAATCTGTATCATGTGACGATTGAAAACTCAAAACAAATACAAAATCATAAATGCACCTAATACTGGATATAGATAGTTAGAACTGTAGTAAACTTACCAAAACTGCCATGGAAACTCTGTATGAAGTCTGCTTGTACTCCTGAATGACTTGACTGATTTGAGCATGAGTTCTTCTGATAAAACAGAACAAAAGAAGCTTACGTTGAATAAAAGATGCCTGAGTGTGTCTGTGTGATGTGCATCATCTCATATTGCCCAAATGAAGCTTACGTTGAATAAAAGATAGTGGGTGCCAATCTTAGCTTTTCTTTCTTTTCATGAGTCCTGGTGGACTGTGGTGTTACAGAACTTTCTGCAGAGGGGAAATTATAGAACACATTAGGATTTAAGATAAAACACGGAAAATTCTCCAAAAGAAACATAACAATTGTCAAAGAGTAAGTGGCTTACTAAGTCCCTATATTTTTTTTGGAAAGTGCTCCCCAAGTTCCTTAATTATTTTAAGTGCTTACTAAGTTTCTATATTTTTTGAAAGTGCTCCCCAAGTTTCTAAATTATTTTAAGTGCTTACTAGGTCCCTATACTTTTTAACTGATAATTGAGTAGTCTCTCCGGTGGCTTTTTCAGGCCCAGTCTCTAGAGATTGTTCTACATGTGCTTGTTGTGTAAGAAAATTATGGTATAACGTCTTTAGAAAAACATATTTTATCCCCTTTTTGCCTTTTCCATATTTATGTAACCCATTTTCCTTATTTCCCACTTTTTATACCTTCTTCCTTTCCCTCTTCAAGAGGATAGTATAGCCATTATAAGAAAATGAGAGAAATAACCATGATGAGTTATATTAGAATGACAAAGGGAAAAAAAGGGGATAAAAATATGGTTTTTATCAAAAAAAAATTAAATGTTATACCACAAATTTATGCACCACTAACAAGTGTGTGACAATGTCTGGAGACTTGGCCTGAGAAAGCCACCAGAGGGACTACTTAAGTATAGGGACCTGTTAAGTGCTTAAAATAATTTAGGAACCTTGGAAGCACTTGTGAAAAAAATAAGGACCTAGTTAACACCAAAAAAATTTAAGACATAAGAAGCACTTTCGAAAAAAATATGGAACCTAGTAAGCAACTTACTCATTGCAAATGAAAAAACATGACAAATAAAGCATCACAAAGGAAAATGGTTCCTATAAGTGCAAAATCCAATCAAAGAATGGATGAAGGAATGCGTTCATGAGAAGTCCCTACTTGAGTGCCATGTCCTCAATCAATCTATATTTAAAGCATTTTACAAAAGAAACTAATGCAGGTGCCTAAGGCTCCAAATTTTGAATATATGTTTTGCTTTTCTCCAGCAAAACAATTTTTACATATTCATCTACAGAATAGTTTTCTCAACAGAAGTATTCCCATGGATTTGCGAATTCCGAAACAATGAAGCTTTTTGTAGTGTTAACTTATTCTAAAACAATTCACTTCATAAACCTTTTTAGCACTAGAATTAAGAAGCTTTATGATAAATACCATCTATGGTCAGAAGGTCATGCAGAGAGCAGTTTCCATTTATATATACGTCAAGGCACAAATTCGACAATAGCACAAAGGTAAAGAAAGCAACAAAAAAAAACTTCTTTTCCATTGGAAGCACACAGACAAAATGGCAATCGAAACTACAATCAACTTATATCCAATACCTGATGGATTAGTCTCGGGAATAAAACCACCTCCATGATCAATTGGGTCGGTGACGGCCTGAGGGTCAGCATCCAAATAGCTCAAACGGGTCAAATTCTCACGCCGACTCTTTGACTTCTGGTTCTGCTGCCAAGCCAGGGCGGAGCAAAGCAATGACAAGGTCTTTCCAGTACCAGTAGGCGACTCCAGCAACGCGTTGCATTGCCCGTCCCTCTGCGACCGATCGAGCGTCGAAATCACTCGGTTCATGAACGCTAGCTGGGTGCCATAGGGCTGGTGCGGGAACTCCACGGGAATCCCTCCTATGTGGATTGTGTTCCTCGAGGTATGCCTGGAATTGGGGATTGTTCTAGGGTTAGGGTTTTCTACTGGCGTCTCCGAGCGGGGCGGAAGGGAGGCGGGATCCGCCATTCCTCGAGCTCCGAAGGAGAGTGTGTGGGAAGGAGACGGAGGATTTCTGAAGGGTTTGGTGGGAACGGCGGGAGGTTTATAAATGGCGGTGAATTTATGAAAAACTTCGGCGGGAAGCTATGTTTAACATTTAAACATTGGGTTTTTTTTTATCCCCGGATATCATTTATGGGAAAAAGGCCAAAGTAGGACTAAAACATTGAGAATATACTAAAATAGGACTTCCATGTTTTTATTCCTGAAATAGGACTTACATTACCAAACATGGTCATATACATTACCAAAAGAGTATAGTAATTTACACATGTACATTGTCACATTACCACAATGCAAAGTCACATTACCACAGTACAAAATCCTATTCCGGGAAAAAAACATGAAAGTCCTATTTTTGTACTTTTCTATATGTTTTAGTCATATTTAGGATGATTTCTAATCATTTATCTTCGAACGAGTTTATTACACATTTACACCAAAACCTCTATAGTTTGTAAATATATATTCTTATTCCTCATGATTTTAAAACTTATGTTATTGTTATTCATGGTTTTGATATGATTATACCAATGCTTCTTAGACTAAAATATCTTTCAAATATTATGTGAAAAAACTCCGTTGGCTCCTATGATTTTAGAAAGTGGTACAAATATTTTTTCTTTTCTTTATTATTTTTCTTTTTTACGATTTTTTCATAAATGCTTTTTAATTTTCTTTTGAATTAATTTTTTAAAAATGTCTTAATAATCTTCTTTTTGTGTTTACAATAAAAATTCAATTACGGAGTAAATAACAAGAATTAACGTATATTTCATTTGTCTCGAATAAACATTTTCATTTTTTATACTCCCTCCGTACACAAATAAATTTCTTGTAGACTATTCATAGGGTCAAATTTAATTCACTTTGTTGACATATTTTTGTCACCTATTTGATAAAATAATACTCCGTAATCATTGTCACATCAAGTTTTGTAGATCTTTTGATATATTTTTTTAATATGTAATTTTTATTTTTAAATTTTACACTATTTTTCATATAAAATGATTTGAAAATAATTTCAGTCAAAAATTGTAACGCACAACAAGAAATTTATTTGTGGACAAAAAAAGTACGGAGTATAAAAGAAGTCTTTATTGACCATGTACTACTGTTACGCAGTCGTATCTCCTCATTAACTACTGACGTATTTTCCAAAAAAAAAAAGCTACTCTTACGAATTTGCTTCCTTTGCTGAACATTGACCATGTCCACCTCACCTTAACCCCCTCCCTCGCTCGAGCTGAGTGGGACCCCTATCGATGAAGAACCTCTGGGCCCCCTGGGGTTTTCTTTATTTTCTCACTTCTATCTTTACTCGAATCCACAGTTGCGGTTTAGATTTGGATTGCGCATTTCTCATCGAGAAATCCCAGAAAATTCTTTCCTTTTTAAGATTAATTATTACTGTATCAGTTTTCCACAGTGCATATATGCTCTGCATTTGACCCCTTCAACAAAATAAGCGCTCGTTTATTTATAGTAACCCAACTCTTATATGAGTATATTGCAGGGACTCATCTATGGGTCTTCTCGGAGTGCACAACTCTGCCTCGCAGATCAGCTTCACACAGTAAAGGTTCGTTTCTGGAGGGCAATTCCGGCATATAGCAAAGTTTTGGACTTTGATAGTTTCCAGCGTTGGTAAAGATTTGATCTTTGATCGATCTTTTGATTTGTGGGTGGTGTGTTATTTGGGCGTTTATTTGATCAATGACAGAAAAGATGAATTTCCCAGAGTGAATCTTTAATATATATGCTTGAAAATTGAAAACCCAGAAATTATATTTTTCTGGGGTTTTGATTTCTAAGCAGATTCATTTGAATCCTGGGGGTACTGATGGAAGAAGCCAAAGATCCATCATCATCTTCTTCTATAAGCCGCGGAGGGCATTTTAGGGGTTTGCCAAATAGGCTGGTGCAGTTACTGGTGCTGTTCTTGGTTCTTTGTTTATCTTTTTCTGTGGTTAGTGTTTATATGATCAAGCATTATGGTATAGTGTATGAACCTTTGAAGCCTAGTTTAGATTCATCGTGTGTCGTCATAAAAGAGCTCAAAAAAGAGCCCAATGATTTGGAGCATTGGATCAAGCCTCCATCCAACTTGATGCACACAATGACAGATAAAGAGCTGTTTTGGAGGGCGTCGTTGATGCCTAGGGTAAAAGAGTATCCCTTCAAGAGGGTACCCAAGATTGCCTTTATGTTCTTGACTAAAGGGCCATTGCCATTAGCTCCCCTTTGGGAAAGGTTCTTTAAGGGAAACGAGGGGAAGTTCTCGGTTTACGTGCATTCTTCGCCATCCTTTAAAGCCCAGTTCCCACCCAAATCGGTTTTCTACGAGAGACAGATACCCAGTCAGGTAATTCTTTTTGTTTCTCTGTGTTTTTATCTATTTATTTACATTCACATAACATTGTGGTAATTATTATATAATTGCCACACATTTTTGCCTAGATTTTCCATGTGAATCATAAGCACTGCCTCTTGTGTTTCTTTAGTGAAAAGATAAAACAGACTTTGAAAGAATCCTCATTGTAATATCATCATCTCTAACTTGTTGGAGCACATTTTAGAAACTTGATAATACATTTTAAGTCCTTTTAGTGTATACTTAGAAACCAACCAAGTTGGTGATCTTCTAGCACTGATAGACCCTTAGTCCAAGTAGGGGTAAGGTTTGCGTACATGCACCCTTCCTAGAGGCTATTTTTTGTGGGACTTTACTCGATTTGTTGTTCTTGATGATATCTAGGTCATATAGGCTTTGACGGTCGAATATCCAACTCAACCAAAAGTTTAAGCTTGTGGCTGAACTTTTGTATGGTTTTTGCGAGTATACCTTCACAAGTCTTTGGAAATACTAATTTCAATGCCAACCATCTTAAGCCTTGTTCTTTTCGCCTAGATTATAACTAGAGTCTTTGATCCTTTTTGCAGGTGGCAGAATGGGGAAAAATGAGCATATGTGATGCCGAGAGAAGACTTCTCGCGAACGCGCTACTCGATATCGCAAACGAATGGTTCATTCTCCTATCCGAATCGTGCATTCCCCTCCGAAACTTCACACTCATTTACACCCACATAAAGAGATCGAAGCACAGCTTCATCGGGTCATTTGATGACCCGGGCCCGTACGGGCGTGCCCGGTATGACCCAAACATGTTGCCCGAGGTGAACATCTCCCAATGGAGGAAAGGCTCCCAATGGTTTGAGATCGACCGAAACCTCGCCCTCTACATAGTAGAGGACGTCACTTTCTACCCGAAGTTTTCGGACTTCTGCACCCCGCCGTGTTACGTGGACGAGCACTACTTCCCGACCATGCTCGCGATCAAAGCGGCGAACCGGTTGGCCAACCGAAGCCTCACGTGGGTCGACTGGTCGCGGGGTGGGGCCCACCCCGCAACCTTCGGGAGGTCCGATATCACCGAGGCATTCGTGAAGAGAATGCTCGGAGGCCACAGGTGCGTGTACAACGGGCGAAATTCGTCGGTTTGCTTTCTCTTCGCGAGGAAATTCGCTCCGAGTGCATTGGAACCTCTCTTCACTTTAGCTCCAAAATATTTGGGGTTCTGATGGAATAGAGAGAGATCTGAATATAACTTTCAATTATATTCTTTTTGTTTTGTTTTTTTTCATTGTTAAGTTATCCATATTGGCATAAGAATATAAGATTAGAAACAAACCAAGAAGATACAGAGTATTAGACCTTTTTTTATTTTTAAAAATAGGATGATTTTTGCTAGTCGTGTCTTTTGCACCAATTTGCAATGTTATATATGGAGATTCATTCTTTATATGCACAATTTTAAGAATAGATATTTATATTTCAAGCTTAGTGATGACATTTTATATTTGTCCTTGAAAGAAAAAAAATCCTCACTATATTTGCTTATTCTTTTGTTAGGATATAATGAAATATAATTTTGAAAGTTCTCAATATGATAAATCTAATAAAGTTATTAAAATGTTAAAATACATTCAATTTTTTTTAATTAAAGCTTAAAGTTTGAAATCAAACTGGACAAATATAATGAGACATAACGATACCTTATATTTGGGAATGAGAGAATGACACACGATCTTTTTCCCTCCACTATCTAAACGTCAAACATTTATTTTTTACTCGGAGTTTTTACTATGGGTAATACTTTTACTTAAAATTAAAAACCGAAATATATTTTGAAATATAGGTATTTCATTACAATAAGGTTTCAAAAATTGGGTGAGAAATTAGAAGGAGAGGATAATAACAGAGCTATTATATAAGACAATACTTAATTTCTTATGGACTTAGGGTCTATTCTAATTTATAGACCTTAATAATTGTAGATGCTATAACACAAACAAAATGCAATAGATTAGAACAAACATTTTGTTTGTGTTATAACATCTACCAAATTTAGCACATAATTTTGGGTCGAAAGCCTTTGCTATCAGTGATTTTAGGTTCCATTTATGCCAAGTGTACCCTCTCTTTCTGAATATTTATTCATTTTTAACTTTTTTGGATCAAATTGGTAAATTTTGTCCACCTTTGCGATCAAGAATTTTAGGTTCCATTTTGCCAAGTGTAGATGGCATTTAAAAAATCATACTCCCTTAAGCATTTGTCTGTTTTTGATTTTTTAGTCGAAATTAGTAAACTTTGACCTCAAATTAAATAAAAATAATATTAAATATTGATACAAAAATAGTTTTATTAGATTTATTATATCAAATATTTTTGAAATGTTATTTTATCTAATTAATATACAATATATATTTTATTTAATTGCTTTCATATGAACTTACTGGTTTCTTCTTGACTATGTAACTCCAAAAAGAACAAAAGTGAAGAACTTTTATATACTGAGCTGGTATTCATATCTACTTCCAAAAAGAAGAAAAAGAAATGGAGTAGTATACCATTACCATATGATTCTTTTACAAATTTCATTATTTCTGGAGCTGAACCCCCCTGAAATACAAAATAAGTACATACAGATTTTACCCTTTTTTCCATTCCCTCTTTTTCAAATTGCTTTGTTTTCTCTCACTCTGAATCAGACTCCATGCTGCCCATTGCCTTCAACCCTCTTGGTCTCTGAGAGTAGTATTTACATTAGTAAATCAATCTTTAAAAAGGAAATCCCATTAATAATAATAATAATAATTGCAGCAATTTCTAAGGAGCATATAACAAATGCTGTTTTGGAAGAGTACCTTCTTTGAGACCTTTTTCTCTCTTACTTCATATCGTTCGAGGGAAAGATCACAAAGCCACGCTCCAGGACTAATCAGCTGCAATGTCAAATATATACACAGAAAATTAGAAACATCATCAAGTACAATAAAATAATATTCTACTCCTTTCGTATCTAAATAATCTTCCCATTTCACAATAACTACGGCAACAGGATTAAAAACCCGTTATGAATGCTTTCGCTATGATTGCAAAAGGATTAACTCCATCCTAAGGCCCCCCCAGCCCGAAAATGTTACCTCTAATCTCAACTGGCCAATAGGAAATGAGATATGTCTCAAAGACCTTATTTTGGTAAGCATAAAGGTCCTACACCAACTTAGCCAAAAGTCGGACTCGGCGCTATCGCACCCCATATTGACCATTTGAGCTATGATCCTTGGTACCGTTGCAATTTTAATGATGTTGGCCAACTTATTTTCTTGACCTAAATAATTTCTTGACCACCCACATTAACCTACATCAATTATGTTATGTCACATCATATAATAAGGGAATACAATCTGGCACTCCTTTTGCCCATCCCATTTCATCTCATTCATTTCCAGTTTCATAAAGTGAGCATTACAGATTGAAGCAAATCAATTTAAAACAAATTAAAAAATGTTGCAAGGATAGTATAGCAATACCAATGAGCTGAGAATAAACAAAACAACTTTATAAACCCACAAAGGATATGCAGAACCGTGTAGCTAGGAAACTTACATTGAGGGTACGCTGGACAAACTTGGCACGTTTTTTGGGGCGCTGAGGGAGTTTGGATCCTTTGATCGCCATGAAGTCCTCTTCCTTCTCCTTATTTGTGAGCGCGATCACAAACTTAGGCGGCCACACACCCGGAACCACATCGCTTCCGGAGGAAGAACCGCCACCTCTCTTGCTCTCGTGGGCCGTCTCCGACGACACCGACCCACCGCCGCCGTGGCGGTGTTGGCTGTTATCGCCGTGGGGGCTGGGCCTGAGATTGTTATGTGCGCCACCACTTTTCTTATGATCGGCAGGGGAAGAAGCCAAATTCCTCAACCCGTTGCTCCTTTCTCTCATTGCAGGAGTTGAAGTCTCACAATTCCTAACACACCAAAACACTCCATCCTCAGATCAATCAATAAAAAAAATAAATGCTTATAAGCTTACTCCATAATAATTAAAATAATAGAAGGGTGAGACTAATACCACACCTTAACTAAATTCATTTGCTAAATTCACACCTTAGATCATAAACACAACAACAACAAACCTAATAAAATTCCACAAAAAGTAGGACCAAACCTTATCTTTACTTGGGAACAAAGAAACTGTTTATAACAGAAACTGGTTCAAATACAAAAGAACATGCTAACAAATCACCAGCACTAATATTGCAAGAGTAGAAAGAAAAGCACACAAATATCAAATTTATATGAGCAAGAGTGAGTTAAACAAATTTAAATCAGTAAAGTGGATTTAGTCATTTAGGATGTGGGGGTTTGGCTATGTCATATACTATAGAAGGGTAAAATAAGAGTAAATTTTGTAGTGCTCTATATTTAAAAAGTAACTCAGGATCAGTTATTTTAGAAATTCAAAATATAATTTTCTACTTGTAATCAACAAGAATTAATCATGAAATAGTTATGAAAAATAGAGAACTGTAAAACAGAATGTTTTTGGAATTATATGTGGGAAATTGTATTAGACAAAGGACTGTTTATAGAAGAATTTATTCAGATAGAATTTACTAAAATAAAATTACTGAGGTTGAAGCATAGGATGGAAATTACAGAATACGCCCTGGATCGGTGATGGAAAAAAACAGGAGAGGTGTGAAAATGGGAGGGGGAATAAATGTTGGGGGGAGGGAGGAGATTGCGGCGACGATCGGGAAAGGTGAATGTTTGAGATCTGAATATCTCCGAGGAAGAAAAAAAAGGGAAATACGGAGTAATGATAAGAAAATAAGAGAGAGAGAGAGAGGGGGGGGGGTCCCAAAGAACGGGGGCCGTTGGATTCAGGTTCTGGGGGGGTGTACGTGCCAAGAGATGCGGAGTGTGCGTGTGATTAACATTGGAAAAAAGAAGAGATGGGCCCGGCCCCACAAGAGGGTTTCCGACATGGATGTGACAATTTACTACGAAAAGTGATTGTAAATACAACCTGTGCAATACGACTCACATCCCACCACCCACACGTAACTCCTTAAATTAATTCAAAAAAAGGCCTCGCTCAGACCCGGCCGGATGGTCACTGAGAGAAAGTAAATTAGATTTTAATCGTAAATTGGTGGTAAAAAGTGAAGCCTACATCTAGTACTTGCAGAAGCTCCATGCTTAGCATAATTGCCTCCCTGCAATCGAAATCGGATTTTACCCCTTTGACACCCCTTGTCTTGCCAACTGCGCAACGCCCACTGGCAATTCAAGATTTCAAGAGTGGGCGTTGCGCAATTAGCAAAGACCGGAAGTGCCAAGAGGTAACAAGCCTCATTTTTTGCCATCAACCTGCGATTAAAATTCAATTTAATTCTTTTTAGTTACCGTCCAACCAGATCCGAGGAAACCCTTGAGAATGGGGCTAATATTTTTTAAATTAATTAAAGAGTCCTCTTCATTGCCAAGTGGGTACAAAAAAGAATAATGTCTGGATTCAAATCTTTTTTTAAGGAATCAGATTCAACTCATTTATAGTTAGAATTTCACAAAATTTATGAAAAGTGGCTAAAAATAAAATATATACTCCGTTTATGATTAGAATTTGTTTATTATGTAAATGTATTCTAAATCAATTGCGGAGTATTTATTATTCTTAAGCAACGACTTGACCAAACATTTTATTGTTAAGCAACGACTAAACCGAATACTCGAAATCCAATATCCGAATACTCGAAATCCAATATAGCTATTCAACCCATTTACAACAATGGGTGGGGGGCAATAACTCCAACAAGTAAGAAAAGTTTATCTTCCAAAATTTTGTACAAGGACACAAATCAAGTGGTCAATAAGAAGTGCAAAAAGACAATGCGGCCGGATTTGACTTCCAGCAAAGGCAGTGTGAGATATTTGATGTTTTGCATACAACTCTTTGTCGGGATTAATGCCAGATCTCAAAGCTCATTCCCCATTGCTCACTTTTGACATTAGAGCTTCATCCCTTTTTATGTAAGCCATTTACGGCAGGCAAAGAAGGGGGGTACAAAAGGAATAATGTTTGTGTGTGACTCTAGGCCGCTCTACCATGTAACTTACACTAAAATTATAATCCAACTTAACAAAGGAACCTTAGGAATGATCTTTCATTCTTCTTCATACTCAAATATATAAAGCCATAGAAATAGAAGTCTCTTACTCCAGTACTAGACATGCTCCTACGCCTCTTAGCCAAGGCTTAGAGAAGCAAATTTAAAAAAAGACGGAATTTTCCAACCCATGATCTAAACATATCCAAAGATCTCTACTCAGTTCATACTTCATAGTTACCTAAGAAAGAGAGTTCTTCCACTCTATTCAAATTCTTAGATCTCGGGTCAAGGAGAGTGGAATGCAAAGCAAATAATGTTTGGGTGATAATAGATGGTGGAGGGTATTAATGTCTCATCAAATTGGACATATGCTTCGTAGTAAAAATAAACAATATGAGAAGTGACAACCCCATGGATGCTGCTACTTGGTCACCACACAGACCCATAGCCACAAGAACACTTGATAGTTAAAACTAGCACAACCCTGACAAAATCTTCCATCTCTTTGTACTCTTCTCCCTTCATTTTGACCATGACCAAATCTTTAGGAAAAAGTGTGTATATATATAGTGAAACCCGGCCAGTCGGCCACAGTGCCTTTTTGCACCCTACTGCTCAGTTGGTCTGGGAATAAACCCGGATTTGGTTTTGGGCTAAGACTGATGCACACCTGTTGGTGTAAATGTAGTTCTGAAAGAAGGATTGGAGTTGGATAAATCTATAGTTACACTAAAGTTTGACACATGTGTTTCAGAAACACGCACAGATAATTGGCTCAGATAATAATCATATGTGCATATCTTGAAACATATAATGTCAAATTTGGTGTGGTTATAACAATACAATGTAAATATATTTTTAAGGGGGAGTGAGATGAGTGTATTTGCTTTTTTAATAGGACCAAACATAGAGTTACTCAAAAAAAATAAATTACGGGAGTTATAGCATATGAGGTATACATAACCCGGATTTGCTCAGTTGGTCTGGGAATTAACCCAGAATATACCCCAAAATACTTCGCATTTACATAGTTAGTTAGTAATTGTCTAATTGATGTATAAGAAAGAAAAACTAGATATAGTAATGAAAAATTACAGCTATATAAACTCTAAATTTTTTACTGCAATTTAACTTGTGTTCATTTTTACTCTCTTTTTTCTTATCTAGTACTCCGTAGTAAAAATTGAGTAATTTATACTCGGTATCATTTTTCTACTCTTATTCATATGATAATCTCAACCAAAAAGATTTTATTTTATTCGAATTTAATGAAAAAAAAACTTATATAGACAAGCATAACAAAATAAAAATTACTCGTACATAAGATGACACAAGTAATACTTGAAAAAGAAAACTTTGACATAGTTCAAAAAACACACTAAAAAGAAAACAAAAGGCTATTGATATTTACTCTAGTTGTGAACCATGCTTATGATTGGCGTTGTGGTTTTAATTTTCAAATACTGAGTAGATTTTTAATTGGAAAATGCCAAAAACTAAAACCTATCTCATTGACTGAAGAGATAGTTGCGTTTTTGTAGGAGTGGTCAAGTGGTGGAGGGAGTATTAGAAAAGGTGGAACCCACTCCGACCCAACAGAATAGTGAGGAAGATAAATCATGGTATAATCTGAATCTGGTTGTTAGAAAGGTTGCTTCAAATGGTCAAGTAGTGGAGGGAGTATTAGAGAAGGGATGAACTTCAGCCCCGAGGCCCCCCTCACACCCGTGTGGTTGAGAGAAGGTAAATTAGAGACCATATGCTTAGTATAGTCGTCTATCAACACAGTTGTCAGAAATCGAACTTGAATCTTACCCCTTGAAGCTCCCTTCTTTGCATTTGCCAACTGCGCAACGTCAACCAGCAGTGAAGGGAGTATTAGAATTTAGGGGAGTGGTGACGTAAGTTTGGTCGGGCCAAGAGTCCTCGCTTGACCATGAGATCTTTGTCTATATATATTCCGTACTCCTTGTCCCTTTTGAATTCTTATTTGATTTTTAACGATTTTTAATACAACATTTTAACCATCAATAGCTTAATCCTTTTATCTAAAAATAGATATTATAAAAACGTATGAAGTACGGAGTAAAATTTTAAAACTATGTTTAAATTTTAACGATTTTAACGAAGTACGGACTTTTAACGATTTTCAATACAACATTTTAACCATCAATAGTTTTATCCTTTACCTATCAATAGATATTATAAAAACGTACGAAGTACGGAGTAATATTTTAAAACTATGTTTAAATTTATCAAAATTTATTGGATTTTTTTTATAACTTGTAGTCAAAATTCTAAAAAGTTGACTTAAAAGTCAAAATAGATCGATTCAAAAACCAGAGAGGGAGTATTATTTTTCTTTTCTATACCCAAAACTCCAAAAGACATAACATGTTCTACTTTTATAAAAAAAAAATACGGTGAATCATATACGGAGTAAGAAAGAATTATGAGCCGAAGATACTATCATTTTCCATCATAAAATTATGGGATATGTACCTGAGATTACGAAGTCCGGGAGACGCCTGCCGTTGACGGAGGTTCAAATAGCGGTTACCGCCGTGCTGCAGAAGGTGCGAGGAGTCCTTATTCGGGTCGGATCTACAAACGCGGCGATCAGCTCGACCGGTCGCTCTCTGTGCCGGAGACGAACCGGACGGTTCACTGTTTTCGTCGTGATCCGCACGCGCGAAGCCAGGGTTCTTGTGGGGCACCTTCACGCACCGTAGCCTCTTCCGGCTCCCCCACTGCAAAACGAAATCATGCGACGTCGTATTACCCGCTGACCTGGCTTCACTCCGTTTATGATGATGATGATGAAGCGTCGTTGATCTCAGTAGCAATCCTTCTCTGTAATTCTTCTCCATCTGCCGCCTTCATACCAGAATAATTTTACCGGAAGTTCAGATTTTTTTTACCGCATGACAAATTAACCACGGTAAAAAATGAATTACTCGGGGTTATTACTTTCTTAAATCAAATTCAGCACACTTTTCTCTGTTTTTTTCTGAAAAAAAGGTTTAGTGAATAAAGGGTAAAATTCTCAGAAGATTTTGGACAAAAGAGGGTAAAACAACCAGTGAGTGCCAATGGGATGTAGAAATTGACGATTAGTGACAGCAGAAATGAAAATTTTCTTATGGGAATTGTGATTTCTGTGAAAGAAGACGGTTGAAAAACATGAAGATTGTGAGTGTACAGAAGGAAAGAAATTAAAGGCCTTTAATAGCCGGAAACTCTGAGTTCTTCATTTCATTTCTTTGTCGTGACTCGTGTAAAGATCCAAGTCGGAATTTGGAAGAACTTCAAAGCATTGAAATTTCGTTTGGATTTTCTGTTAATTCTCTGAAAAATGATTTGAAAAAACGAGAAGGAAAAGAAGAAGAAGAAGATGATGAGGATGATGAAAACGAGAAGAAGAAGATCGAAGATGTGAAAACTCAAACATCTCTGATACGGAGGATTATAGGTACCTGAAACTTTCAGCTCTTCAGAGAAGGCGAGTAAATTTACGCTCTTCCCAGATTCCAAATCGGAATGTTCACAAAAATTCCCAGAGATGTGTTCTTCAGTCTGCATATCCATACAAAAAACACGTTTCAGGTCGTCTTAAAAAGTGAAAAATGCAGAGGAAATTGAAGCAATTCAATTTCTCTTGAAAAGGAACCGCAGTTCATACCTATATCATCAAAGAACAATCAGCAGATAGATTTCCGATTTCTTCACTTTCCAGACTCCGTTTTCAGTAGAATGGAGCCATCACCGTCACCGAACTCCAGTGCTCAAAGCTTCTCCGAAATTTCCGATCTTCTCATGGGAATCTGATCTAGAACTTCAGATGGACTTGAAAATCACATCTGGATTCACCAGAATGCACGGGCGGAACAGAAACGCGCACAAACGGCAAGAGGAAATCGAAACAAAAAAATCAATCCACAGATCGAATTCCAGGCCTTAGAAACTCAATTCACGAGTAAATCCTTCAATACCAGCTGAAATCTCTCTTCAAGTTGCACCTGTTCATCGAAAACAAAAACCAAATCGGATTAATTCTCAGCGAACTTTGAATCAAAAGATACCAAATCAGGCATTCAACTGCAGAATTCCCGAGATGATCTTCTGTAATTGAATCAAAACGAAACATTGTTCCAGTCTCTAAACATCGAACCAAAACGGAACAAGATAATCACTCACCAAAAATTCCCTGGAAATTTTCTCCTTTTATTAAGATTTTTTTTGTGTTTTGCAGGGATGTGAGATGAGAAGGGAGAGAGAGGATGGAAAAAGAAGAAGAGAGAAACGGCTTCTCCTTCTTCCACAGCTTCTCGTGTTATATATACACAGTGAATTAGCGAAAATTAGACTTCTCCCGTTCGGGTTCAGATGCGTGGCCGTTCGATTGTGATCGGACGGCTCTGGGCGTCCGGGTTTGAACGGCGACGAGTTCCGTTACGGAGTAGCTCTCCAATGCCACTACTTGTTTATTGACGTGTTAACGGAATCATGGACATCCGATGAAATACCCCCAAACATTCCCACCCCCTCCATCACCATAAAAAAAGGTAAAAAAAAAATTAAAAAAAATATTACGTCTATCTCACTCTCTTTATCTACTTTTGACTTTTGGAACTGTTCATCTAAGCACTTTAACTCATCAAATTTTCTCAATGTGTAAGCCTAAATATAGTCATGTGTGATCTTGTTTGATTTGACTTAACATATAGATTATTAATATATACTCCCTCCGTCCTAAAACTTTCTTCCCGTTGCGCAAAACGAAGAAAAAATCTCAAGTTTTTTCAATCTATTTTATTTAAATATTGGTATAGAAATAAAAATTAAAACATACATATTTAAAAACTACATCAAAAGTTCAACAAAACAAGTGGTGAAAGGAATATTTTATTTTATCATATAATCCATGAAAAAACACAAATAAATATAAATTCCCGTGAAGTTAGAATAGTGTTCTGGGAAGAAAAGTTTTAGGACGGAGGGAGTAATTTCTATAATTTTTTAATATACAAATTACAAGATAAAATGGATTAAAAAAGTGCATTGGATGGTGTGCCAAAAGGTAAGTGGACAAAGAGAGTGGGACGGAGGGAGTAAAAATAAAAACAAAATAAAATGAATGGTAGAAAGGAGAGTGGTGTATATTTGGGGTATACATTTGGGGTACACATTTGGTGTACCCCTAGCATATCCCTTCCACAAAATCATTCCCATTTTGATTTTGGCCTTTTGGGCAAAAATTAAAAAAGTGTGATTTTGGTTGACTTTCCAATTTTACCCCTGATGTGATGAAAAAAAGTAAAATGTGTTAGTTTGGTTATTAGTGGAAAAGTATGATGTACTCCGTAATAGATATGGTATGAAAAAGTATGTGTAAAAGTGGTTTTTTAATAGAAGATGGAAGTGTTTTGTGGAAAACAAAAAAAGATGAAGAGTTTTGTAGAATGAAGGGAATACAAAATAATGCTCCCTAGTTCCAAAAAATTTACTTTCTTCCCTCCTAAAATAATCATTTTTTTTCGAGTTACACACCCTTCCGAGTAGGGGCAAGGTCTCTTGGAAACAGTCTCCCTACTTCCGAGTAGGGCCAAGGTCTGCGTACACACACCCTTTCCAGACCCTACTGTTGTGGGATTCACCTGGGTTGTTGTTGTTATTGTTGTTGATCTCTTCATCGGTTCTAAAATATTCTTTCTATATTATATTTACGGAGTCTGATCAACTTTATTTTCAATTTAATTTATTTGATTGTTAGTATAAAATAAAAATATAAAGTTAAAGTATATAAACACTTATGTCTATAATGACATGAGTTTTAATTCATTTCACGGGAGGTTAAAAACGATGTAGGAGTCGTCTAACACGTGGAAGTGTTCGGTGGATGCTTCTCTCTTTCCTCGTTCGAAGCTCACAAGTTTTGGGTCTATCCTTTTTACACCCAATGGTTCTTTCAAGATTAATGGTGTTACACATAGCGATTTTGACCCCTTTATGGCTGAAGTTGTGGCTTGTAGGGAGGCTCTTTTCTGGCTAAAAAACATGGGCGTTGATGCGGTGGTGCTCTCCTTAGATAATCTCAAATTGGTTCAAGTATTACAACAAAGGGATGCCTCTTCCGTTTTGTCCTACGTGGGTTCAATTTTGGACACTTGTTTTACTCTTATTTCTTCCTTTATGCGTATCGAATTTCATTTTATTCGTAGATGTGAGAATGTTTTAGCTCATGTGCTTGCTAGACAGGTTGAGGTTTGTATTGATGTGTGGGAGTCTAACCCATCAGACTTTCTTGTTCCTTTTTTGAATGATTAATCATTATTATGTTGTTTCAAAAAAATTACATCAAAAATTTTATAAAACAAGAGGTGATAAGACTATACGGAGTATTATTTTACCTCGTATCAAATAACTAACGAAAATTGGTTAAGAGTGTGATTAAAATTTGATCGTATAAATCTTTACTGCGAAAAATGATTTAGGGCAAAGGGAGTATTTCAAATTCATTTTTTATTTTCTTTTTGAAATGTTTTTTATCGCTTCCCTTTTCTCTCTCTTCTTCGCATTACTCAAAACAGAGTTTTATTTTTCATAAACTTCGTAGAAAATCAAACAATGAATAATATGTTTAGAGAAATCGAATACATATTTGAATATTATCAAATTAATATAGGTAAACTTAGTATATAATTAAAAAATAAAATTTATGTATTTAAAAAAGTATTCAAAAAATCATATCAAAAAATTTTATAAAACAAGATTACTGTACTTTGTCAAATAGTCGATAAAGACGTATAAAAAAATATCTCAAAGGCAACCAATCATGTTAGCACTTTCATAAATAATCTTTACTATTTAACTTCTATCTAAAGCACTAATACTAATAAAAAATATTACTTACAAATAAGACCAAAATGATGGCTTGAATAACAATCAACAATTCAAGCTTAGAGTTTGTTCATGAGGTTTAAACTCTTAACTTTTAGTTCTTCCAATTCTTTCAAGTTCTATCAAGTTTCTTCTAATTTCTTACAGTCTTCCAGTTCCTTCTAATTTTTACCAATTCTTTTCAGTTCCCTCAAGTTTTTTCTAGTCCTTCCAGTCCTTTTTTTAAAAAAATAAAAAACGATCTCAAAAGTATAAACAACAAATTCAGATAACAAAAAATAATATCACCAATAATTAAAATACAACTAACAAAAAAGTTATATTTTCATTTATTGGATTTACTTTTTATTGACTCTAATATGTAAAATAGTGCGCATATGAATATAAATAATCCAACCAATGTTAACATAATCATATTGTAAAAATAATACTCCGTATTTAGTAACTTCAATTAAACTTAACTGTATTCAAGAATATTAACTATTATTTCATCTTTAAACAGCTCCATTACATCTTTAGTTTGTTCATCAAACAAATTACTTTGAGCTTATTCTTCATTGTTCGTTGTCTCGGTAGAAGTAAAACATAAAAAAATGTTAAAAAAAGCTTTATGTCTTTATTCTAAAAGCATGGTTACAATGAAAAAAATCAACCATTAAAGAAAAAATATATTTGATTATATTATGTGTCATGTCTGATATATAAAACAAAATCTTGTAATTTATAAAGTATAATTACAAATATATTATTTTATGATAAATATTACATAAATAAAGTAACGTGCAACGTAGCCACAATAACTTTTAAATATTTAACATTTTGATATGCCAATTTTATATTCTAATTTTTTTTTTTCAGAAGTAATTTTTTTTTAAAAAGAATAACAACATTTTTGATCTTAAAGTCATTGATTAAGATAACGTGATCACAACAACAATAATAACAATAATAAAAATAATACTCCTAATAACAATATCACTGGAGCAAGACTCCACTGGAGCAACGCAGCAAGCTTCATCTTCACGGAGTATTAGCCGGGAAATGCCGAAGAAGAGCAATTCTAAGAAGTCCAAATCTGCGGTGAAACCTGCGGCAGAGACGGCGAAGGCACAGAGCTCGTCCTCATCCCCATCGGAAAAGCTGAAATCCGGCAGCGAACTTGACGAATTCTCCCCCGGAAAGAAGAGAAAGAAGCCGGAAAAAGCTTCAGATGCGGGTGACGCGCAATCGATGCCGAAAAAGACTACGGCGAAGGAAACGGACACCAATGTCCGCAAAGCAAACGGGTCGGCGTCCGGGTCAAGGGCAAGGAAGAAGACCGGCGATGGGTTCGCCGTTTATACAGAAGAGGAATTAGGTTTTAACAAAGCAGATGCCGGAGGTACTCCCCTCTTTCCTTATTGACTGTGACTGTTTTTTGTGGTATTCAGTTTTTTTTCAATTAAATTATATGGGAAAAAGTGAATGAAAAAAACAAGAACCAGAAATGTTTCGTTTGTATTGATTGAAATTGTAAGAATCATCAATATGAATATTATCAGACTCCATTTTGCCGTTCTTCTGATTTTAACCAATGATTGTATGAATCAAAGAACAAAAATCTATGAAAGTTTAAGAAAATGCCCATTTTCCCCCTTTTTCCAAACTTTTCCTTCCGTTCTAGAAAAATGACCTTGCCAACACACTTCAAATGAACACTCATATCCAGATTTTATAAACATTAACTGGAATTAGCTGAACAGATGGATTGAATGATAGAGAGATGTTACAAGATAGTCCAATGGCTCGTCTCCTCCCTCCCTGTGGTCTCATCACAGAGATGGCTACCAATACCACTGATAACAAAAAAGATCCGTGTTGGAAATACGTTCGGTTGAAAGATCCGAAAATCACAAACAACACAACATGCATTTTTTGTGACCAAACGTACAGCGGGGGAATCCATAGAGCAAAGCAACATGTAGTCGGGGGTTTCGCAGCGGCCAGGGCTTGTGAAAAAGTGACAAGCGAAGTGAAGGAGGAGATACGGAATTACATGATTTCAAAAAAGAGAGTTAGGGAGCAAATTGTGATGGAGAAAAGAATTCAACCGCAACGGTTCCATGAGGAAACATTGATGACCTTTGGTGATGAAGATGATGAGGGGGATGCACTGACATTTCCAAAGATTAACAAAAGGGGGCCAATGGGTATGTTTGTAAGTCATGGTTGTCAGCCCGCGGCAAATGGTATGATAGAACAAAAAAGAATGAATAATGATGCATTGAAAGAGCTGAGGAGTCAAGCATGTTCTGCAATAGCAAGATGGATGTATGATGCCGGTATCCCTTTTAATGCTGTTACTTATGAAAGCTTTCAAGATATGATTGACGCTATCGGAAAACATGGACCAGGAATGAGAGCTCCATCACTTCATGAAGTTAGAGGTCCTTTGTTGAAGAAAGAGGTTGAAGTTGTGAAAAAAGAAATGGAAGATCATAGAGAAGAATGGGAAAAGAATGGTTGTTCTATTATGTCCGCTGGATGGAAAGACAACGGAGAGAAAACTCTGGTTAATTTTTTAGTTAATTGCCCTAAGGGAAACATTTTTGTGAAGTCGGTTGATGCTTCTGAGCATTCAAAAAAAGGGGAACTGGTCTCTGAGTTACTAAGTGAGTTTGTTGAAACAGTTGGTCCAGTAAATGTAGTACAAGTAGTCACAGACAATGGCTCAAACATGAAGCTTGCAGGTAACAATAATTTAATGGAAAAACTTTTCACTTTTTATTTTTATATAGTATGAACTTATTCATTTCCTATCATTTAATATGCAGGAGACCTTTTAATGGCGAAGTATCCTCACCTATATTGGACACCTTGTGCAACTCATTGCTTGGACTTGATTTTGGAGGATATATTTCAAGAGAAAGATATCCACTTAACATACAAAAAGGTTGTTAAGTTGAGCCGTTATATCTACACTCGTCCAGGTTTAGTGAACTTGATGCGGAAGTTTACTAAATTAGATTTGGTTAGACCCGGAGTGACTCGTTTTGCCACTGTTGCCCTTACACTGGAAAGGATTTCTATATTGAGGGTAGAGTTAAGAACTTTGTTTGTTTCAGATGCTTGGGCAAAAAGCAAGTGGGCGAAGGAACAAAAAGGTGTCTTAGCATGTAACACTATCCTATCAGAGTCATTTTGGAGAGGAATGCGTAAATCCTTAAAGATTGCTACTCCTCTGATCGAAGTTCTTCGACTAATCGATGGGGAAACCAAACCTGCAATGGGGTATATATATAAGGCAATGGATAGAGCAAAGGAGGCCATAGCAAAGAATTTTGGATACCAACATGAGAAATATAGCCGATTCTTTGACATCATTGATGAGAGGTGGGAAGTTCAACTTCATCAACCATTGCACGCTGCGGGCCATTATTTGAACCCGGAGTACTTTTACTCTGATCCAAATATTGAATCCAACGAAGAGGTCGTAGAAGGATTCTATAAGGTGTTGGAAAAATTAATTCCTGACACGAAAATACAAGACAAGATCACAAACGAGCTCATATCGTACCGGAAAGCAGAAGGTATAATGGGGTATAATATTGCGAAGAGGCAAAGAACTTCAAAACCAGCAGGTAAAATTCCTCTAATTATTCGCCACAAATTACATTGTATAACACTTTATAATTCAAATTCATTACTTAAATTGATAGTGGAGTGGTGGAGAGCTTATGGTGGAAGTGTACCATTCTTGCAAAAATTTGCTATAAAAGTTTTGAGCTTAACATGTAGTGCACTTGGATGTGAGAGAAATTGGAGCTTCTTTGAGCATGTAAGTTTTTTTAAATGATAATTAAGCAATCATACTGATTGAATACGGACGCAAGGGTTAAGTATGTTTTTAGCCCCTCTAAAATAAGCAAAATCTGTTTTTCATCCCTCCAAAATATTTTTTAATCATTCCATCCCTGTAAAAACTCTCTCTTGCAAATAGTCCCTCTGTTGAATTAAGAAGCAAATTAGCTTATGTGGCTAGCTTGTTTTTCCTAGTCACCTCCTAGGTGGATTGCTTCATTTAAAAAAAAAATTGACTGGGTAAAAACTTGGAACTCAGGGAGTATTTCAAAACTCATTCAATTGCCATCTGTTTTTTTGTTGCTCAACCAATGGCCAAAATCAAAATTTGAACTTTGTCTAGCTGGAACAGTAAATGACTGGAGTCATGGAGTAACTTATGTAAATATGTCTGCTCAGTCCCATATGTGTATTCGAAACCTAGATTTGAAGCGTTCCGAGGATCATCTTGAGTGTAGGATGAAATCGAGGGACCGACCTCTGGGAATGAAGACCAACTGCCTGCATAAGATAATTAGCTTCCTAATTCAACAGAGGGATCATTTGCAATTTTGCATGAGAGATTTTTTTTAGAGGGACGAACTAATTAAAAAAATAATCCACTATTTAGAAGGATGAAAAACGAAATCCACTTGTTTTAGATAGACGAAAAACATATTTAACCCTAGCCTGGACACAATGAATTACTGATTTTGGTGGCTCGTACTTGGTAGGTCCATAGCAAAAAAAGGAAGAGGCTTGATCAAACTAGGTTGAATGACCTACTTTTTGTGAAATACAATCGAGCCCTCAAGAGGCATCACACGCTTGAAGACTTTATTGATCCTATGTGCTTGGATAATATTGACGAATGTAGTGAATGCTTTGGGGGCGAAGACTGTTTAGAAGAAACGGATGAAGAGGAAGCACTTGATGGGCTCACTTGGCACGATGGACGCCTTCGAGTGTAGTAAGCTGGTCCACAGGGGAGATGCTGGATCGCATAGACGCAAATGTCATGAAGGTGATGTAAAGCAGTCAACGAATGGAACGACATATACACGGTCAGGGAGGCGTCGGCGGCGGCGGTGGCTCAAGCAAGGGCGTCGGCATGGGCGCGAGCCAAGACAAGTGCAGCGATGGTGGAGGAGTGGCTACCGCGGAAAAGAAGAACGGGGAATCCAGTAGAATGGTGGAAAGAAGCCCATGAATGGTGGTGAGAATGGTGGAAATGGTAGGCTTCTTTCCACTATTCATGGGCTTCTTTCCACTATTTCTACTGGATTCTCCGTTCTTCTTTTCCGCGGCAGCCATTCCTCCGCCACAGCTGCACTTGCCTTGGCTTGCGCCCATGTCGACGCCCTTGCTCGAGCTGCCGCCGACGCCTCCTTGACCCTGTATATGTCGTTCCATTCGTTGGCTGCTTTACAGCACCTCCATGGCATTTGCGTCTATGCGATCCAGCATCTCCCCCATAGACGGGTGGGCACTGTACCTGGAGCCAACAAGTAGTTGATGGGCTCACTTGGCACGATGAACTTCTCCACAACCAACAAAGCAGACAACCCGTTGATGGGAACCCTACCTTGGTGGTTTCTTGAAGGGCGTCTTGATGAGTCAAGGACCCTTTTGGGCATGCCATGCTGTTTGACCGGTTGCCTGCAAATCACCCGTGCGGTTTACATGCCCACTCGGTTATGTGCAAATCCGACAAAGGTACCGTGTTGCGTGTTGTTTGGACCTTGACCGGTTGAATTTGGTTGGGCCAGACCCGATTCTTGGCCTGGGTGGAATGCAACCATCACCTTTTATTTAATTTGAAGTTCAAATTTATAATTTTTGACTTTAAAAAAATCAAAAGGAGACAAATACTCAAAAATGGATTAAGTATGATTTTACTTATTACAATGTTGGCCTATACTGCGCGCCTAACAACATTTGCTCGCTTGTTGGCTCCATTTAGAAGTACAGTCAAATTCAAGTCATATTGTTTCTACTTGGGGTACATAAATAAAAGGCCAAAATAATTGTGAATAAAGAACAAACGGTTTAGCGTTTACAACTTCTTGTTAGCCTTGGTTTGCCATAAATCTGTTTGAAATAGTCTTTCATTTGATTGAGTATGATGTGCACAAAATAAATAAATAAATAAATAAATACTCCATAAAAAAATATGACACCCTATTTTATTTTTAGTAATACCACCGTGCTTTTAATTTTTTAATCAAAATTTTTTAACAATAAAAAAAGTCATTGATAATATTTTTAATTATTTACACTATTTTTTTCTTAAAAATCTTTTAATTAATAATTAATTACTCCATATTTAACACTTGTATATATAATACAAAAATCCATAATTAATAATATAAAAATGGCATTTATATGTGAATAGGATCCACCCAAGGCATTTCAATGAGATGTCACCATTAAAAGATTTGGATGTTTAAAGAGATGCTCCAATGCTATCTTTAAAATAAAGCCCACATTTGGGCATCTAATGAGAGGTGCTACCATTGTGGATGCTCTTACAAATATAGACTCTGTCTAAGAGTGAATGGAAAGAAACAAATGAAAACACTATGAACAATAAATAACTTTCTCATGTCTCTAGATTTTAGTTCTAAAGGTTGACATACCGCAACTCTTTATCTTCCCTAACTTTTTTTGCTCTCAATCCAATGATCTAGGAATGACATTTCAACATTAATCTAACCTTTATCAACCAATTCTAATGGAGTAAAATCTAAATTCAAGCCAAAAATTTTCATGATCAATATGTTTACATTAAATCCAAAATGTGTGGGAGATTGGAGGGGTTTTAAAGCCACTCAATTTTATCGGCATGATGACACCAAATTTGATCTTAAAATTTTTGGCCTATCTTTTGTGGCCTAAACCCCACACCCTACCGCCTACCTGCCCACCCCACCTCAGCACCCCCGGCCTCCTTCCCCATTCTCCTATTGGCTACAGTAATTTACCGAGCAAAAAAGAGCAATACTAGGGGTACACCTAGTATTTTTCGAGCAAAAATTTACCGAGCAAAGGTGTACCCCACTTATCCCCAACCTCTTTCTCCACCACTCATTTTTATTTTATTTTTATTTATTTAATTTTTTTTAGTCTCTTGTCCATTTTTGTGATAATGGAGCGGATGGGGACAAATGGGGTACCCCTAGCAAAAAAACACGGGTCAGAAAAGAGTTGGGCCTGGACCCGGACAAAAAATCGCATAGAAAGTAAGATAGGGTTTAACAGCATTCAAAGATCGTCATCGTCCTCCGGCATAGAAAGAGAGATATAGGGTAGCAAGCTGCATCTTCGCCGAGTTTTAGCCGGAAAATGCCGAAGAAGAGCAAATCGAAGAAGTCCAAATCTACAGCTGAGGAGAAGCCTGCTGTAGAGAAGGAGAGGACGCAGATCTTGCCCTCTTCCGCATCGAAAAAGCTAAAATCCGGCAGCGAAATCGACGAAATCTTCGCCGGAAAGAAGAGAAAGAAGCCGGAAAAAGCTTCCGATGAGGGAGACGCGCATTCCATGCCGAAGAAGACTCCGGTGAAGGAAAAGGACAACAAAGTCCGCAAAGAAAACGGGTCGGCGTCCGGGTCAAAGCCAAGGAAGAAGACCGGCGATGGGTTCACTGTTTATACGGAAGAGGAATTGGGTATCAATAAAGCCGATGCCGGAGGTACTCGTCTATGTCCTTTTGACTGTGACTGTTGTTTTTGAGTTATTCTATGGTAAAAATTGAATGGCAAAAAAGAAAAAAAAACAGGAAATGTTTCATTTGTATTGATGGAAATTTTAAGAATTATCCTAGCATTTCATTTCAATTCATGCATTTCAATTCCAAAATTTGAAATCTTGAATTTCAAATGACAAGGGGAGGTGCATGGATTTCAAATTAAGCTTTGTTATGAATGAGAAGAATTTGACTCAAATTCAAATTCAAAATTTTTAAGTTTCCCAAACATGGAATTTGAGCCAAATCCGGATTTGAAATCCAAATCCATGTTCCCAAACATACCACTAGTGAATTTTCAGACTCCATTTTGCAGCTCTATTGATTTCAATTAATGATTGTATAAATCAAAGCACAAAAAAATGGATGAAATTTTAAGGGAAAAAAAACCCTTCTTTCCTTTTCCAAATTTCTCCTAATATTACATTATAATCGAGTCAATAACACTAAAAAGACTACAATGGCTACTCGTGTTGAAGTAAGACAGTCATTATAGGTTCACTGAATGCTAGAGAGCTGTTAAGTGATACTATAATGGCTGAAAGTAGTTGCTCTATAGTCTATACTCTCTCGATCTGGATTTAGTTGTTCACTTTCTGGGTTTTGATTGTCCGGAAGGTTGCCCAGTTTTCATATTCAATTTAGAAATTATGATGAAATGTCTAAAATATCTTAGAGGCAGCAGAGTATTGGCATTGGTGACATGAATGTGTTACGAACTCGTTTAAAGGGTTTTTGCTTGACAGTTTAAACTCATATTTTCAAAAGAGATTTTTTCTTATCAAGAATTTGAACAACTAAATCCAGACGGAGAGAAGTAAAAGTTTATTCATTATTTCATTCACATATGGGTTATGACTATGAGTAGAATTGCATAGCTCATTATAGCATAATAGTTTTTCTGGTTATTACTATCATTTCCTAGCCTTCAATAAACCATTCCTGGTCATAATAGTTTATTCTTTCTATTTTTTCATTCTTGTGTGGCATTAGTGGCCATTTGATTACCTGTAGGGCATTCCCTATTCCAAAAATGCTATTCCAGCTAGGGTTGTAAACGAACCGAACCGAATTGAATATTCATGAAAAATATTCATATTCGTTAAGATGGAGTGATATTCGAATTCGAATTCGAATTCGGTTCGAATATTTTTTAAGATTCATATTCGGTTCGTTTAATATATTAAACATATTCGGTTTGTTAAATATTCGATTCGTTTAAATATATTCAGTTCGTTTAAAAATATTTAGCTCATTTAGATTTTAAAATATTTTATAACCATTTGATACACAAACACACACACGCACACATAAAATATTCGATTCATTTACATCCCTAATATTTCAAGCCCCATGGCTCACCCTTGTGGTCTTTACATAGCACAAAAATATGGTCACCCTAAAAGTTTTATCAAACCCTTATTCTCTCATCATCAGCAACATAGTAATCCCCATTTCCCAAAGTCCTAACAAAAGATTGTGTTGGAAGTTTAGGGGCTTCATATGGTCTGCAAACAATGTTTTTTAAAAAATTTTTAAAAAAAAACAAGGCAAGATTTATCATTCATCAAGGTCCAAACAAGGATGCAAGTAACACAACTCTATATTGAAGAAGAATGGGTATAGCTTGGATGAATGTTCTATCTCAATGGCAATAACCGCAATACAAATACTCTCTCTTTTCCTCAAAAGAATGTTTTGTTTATTTATGTGTTTTTTTATCATTCGGTAAATAACAATCATGTCATCTCAACTATATAAGTAAATCTATCCCTAACTTTTCTTTTGGCGGTGTGAGTGTATTTCTACATTTTGGTGGACATATATATTTACGGTTGGAAATTAGACATTTTTATTATATTGACCATTTTAAAAAGTAGACAAATTCTTAAATGAAATTAAGGTTCATCATCATTTCATGAAGCTTAGTGCTTTGATAATGTAAATTAATTGGGATATTGCTTAGAAAAGAAAAATGTACTTCTACTAAAATTTTCTTTTTAGGAGTATTAAGTACTCTCTTCGTTCCAATTTAAAGTTTATGCTTTAACTTTTGATGTTTAATTAAAACTATTTTTAATTCAATTTATATGAAAATTGAAATGAGATTAAAATATGAAAATTTGCCTATTTAAAAATTACATTTTTAATTCTTATGAGATGACATGACTACTTTTTTTATCTAATGAGAAGTAAAAATCGATAATAAAAAGGGGAATATAGATTATCTTGAATAATAAATAAAAAGTTTAATTTGGGACGGAAAAACTAAAAAATTAGGAGAAGAATGTGAAAACAACATCAAAGTTGTACTTTTCTTAAATTCTACTTCGTATCTATTTGCATGAGATAAATAATACTCCGTATTTCATTAAAAACGTCTCAAAGTACATTTGTAAAACTTGAGCTTTGGAAATCAAGACATTCTTGTTCCTGTTTGTCTTTCTCATAGAGGTTTCAATATTAACGTTTCCTTGTCTCAAAAAAAAAAACCTTTCGGGAGCGATTCTATTATTCTTTGCACTTATTTGAATAAATGTTCATCTGCTCTGAATTTAATTGTATTTAAATTTATTTTTTATCCGCTCTTAATCGATTCAAATAAAAATAAATACTTCCTCCTTCTAAGAATAATCTTCCGTATTAATTTTACGTGTAAATTAAGGAAAAGTGTAAAGTAAAAAATACTTTGAATTTTCATATTTATCCTTGGATCATTGCAAAACTAAAATAAAATATAAGTAGGAATAACAATTAATGTGTGATGATGGGATAGTGATGCAGTTTAAAGAAAAAATATTTGTCAAAAAAAGAAATTGAAAGATAATTTATAGACAGACAAATAAAAAATTGAAAAGATAAATTACAAGAGTGGATTAATAACTAGAGAGTAATAAGAATAAGTTAAAAAACAAACTCTAAGAGCATCTCCAACCATATCATTTTAACTTGCTAAAAGTTATAATATACGGAGTAACTAGTTAAACACTTTTGTTCTTCTCCAAAGGGCATGCTTTATTTTAGCAAGTTTGCCAAAAAATAAATTTGGTTTGCTAAATATGACAAGTCCCTCAAAATTTAGCTAGCCAATACTTAAAAATGAAATAACAAATAATGGTTGGAGAATGAAGCAAAAAAGTGTTTGCTATATCACTATTCACTTGCTATAATGTAAAAACAGTAAATCCATATAACAAGCATGGTTGGAAATGCTCTAAGAGCAAGGGAAATACTTGTAAGTTGTAATGCCATGCGGCGTTTAATGTCACCTGAGCGTTAAACACCACCCCCCCTAAGGGCCTTACACCGGCGTCATTCATTTGCGTCAGAAGTTTGATGCAAGCCGTTACCATATTTAAAAAATTTAATTATTTTTTATAAATTTAAAACTCAATCCTTCAATCTTCTTCGCATCTCTCCTTTCTTCAATCCAAACTTTCAATCTTTTCACATCTTTCATTCCTTCAACTTTTTTAACATGAATCCTTTCGACTTCGGCTTTCTCCCCAACGATCTCGAGCATAACGAGCACACCATGTGAATCTTCCAACAATACACAGGAGTAATCCAACGTTATTTGAGATGCAACCATTAGCACACGTCTATGAGCGAGAGTCAGTTCCGGAAACTCAACTAGAACCATCGGACACCAAAAAAAGTGCAAGCCGGAAAAGCCACAAAGCAAAAGGCACTCAACCGATAACCGAGGCGTGACGGTCAATCCAAAAGTGGACGCCGGAGGAAGAGTGCTTGTTGGCGTCGGTTTGAGTGAACGTCTCCGAGCATCTATCGTTATTAAAAATTATATGTTTTCTAATATATATGTGTTCTTATTTAAATATTCATGATATATATTTGTGTTAAAAAAATTTGTTCAACTAAATATTATTTAAAGGTTTGGAGCAAACGAAGGATGCGATGTAAGATCGTATCGATAAGAAGTTCTTTACGTTGATGAACAAACATGCCTCTTACCATACCCGAGACCAACTCACTTCCAAATGGAACACATCAACCGTAAAATCCGAAAGTTTATCAAGGTTATAAGGAATGCAATCAATCTTGGAGGAGCAGGACGAACGACGTTGATGTTCTTCGACTTGTCACGACCCAGTATCAAGACAACATGCACCAAGACAAGATGCCCATCAATCTTAGAAGAATTTTAAGCTGTTCACCGAAATAACAACTTAACAATTCCGACACTGGATCCTCAAAGTAAAAGATCCTCCGCCAATATCGAGGTGGAGGGGTCGATGACACTATCATTTTGTCCAACAAAGGCCTCCCTTCAACGTTGATGATTCTAATGACGAAGATCCCATTCTACAGCCGATCAATAGAAAGAAGGCAAAATCCATTATCTCGAGTTCTGAAAGGTCCAGTTCTGTTTCTATTTCTTCTCACGACGATTTCAATCGCGCAATGGTTGAACAATTTCGAATGTTCAATATTTAAAAAGAAGAGTTTGAAAAGAAAGCAAGAGAAGAAAGAGATCAAAATAATAGAAACCAACATTGATACATTATCAAGTTTAAAACATATACGAGTAATATTCAAGAGAATATAAAAAGAGATTAATGCCAAATATAATTAACTTAATTTTTTTATTCATATATTTTTAAATTATTGTCCCTTTAATTTATTTAAATTTAATGAATGTAATTTTTTAAATTATTGTCACTTTAATTTTTTTAGTTTAATGAATGTAATTTTGTTTTTGAATTATTTTTATTTCAATGTAAATAAATAATAAAATAATTTAATTTCATTAATTTAGTTATAGAAGATGTTGAATTAAATATATAAAAAATAAAGATTTGAAACCCCTCATAGGAGCTTTAGAGCTTCAAGCATATTTTCAATATATCTGTGAAGTAAGTTAAAACTGACATATATGAAAAATTTGAAACTCCAATTTAAAACCTCAATGCTTCTTGCGTATTTTCAATGTCTTATTGCTAGACTTTCTCCTGGCTTAATTATTTAAAGTTCATAAGATTAGGGGCTATTTAGCAACTTCTAAATAAGTAAGTACTGAACTAATAAGAGATCTAAACCATTAAATGCTGAACCAGTAAGAGATCTGAATCATTAAGAACTAGTGTATTGCTTAACTATTCTGAGGCAAATGCTTAATCAATTCAGATAAGAAGTCTTAACCATTCAGAGACAAATGTCTGAGCCACTCAGACACCTGAATCATTAAGAAGCAAAAACAAATAATCTAAACAATTAATTGCTGAACCATTCAGATATCTAAACCATTAAGAGATTAAAACAAATAATCTCTTAGATTAGAACATAAAAATGCATTCTTTAAGGTCACATGTACACCCACCGATCAAATTCTTAAAATTCCGACAAAAAGTACCTATTTGTTACATTTTTTAAAAATTACATTTCGTTTCATCACAAATTAAATATGAGATACTTTTTTTGTTACAATGTGCAAAGACGAGATACATGAAAAAAACCTCTAGATATTACACAATTTTATTGTTTTAAGTGAGGTGATTAATTGAGAATTCCTGCAAAAAAAGGACAATTTTGAAAGTAATGAAATAAATGTAAAATCAGAAATTTGTCACAGTAGTATTCTAAATTTTTACAGGAAATATGGAAACTTTAACCAAAAAACCAAAACTACATAAATTTGGTAAAATGCTCAGAAGCCAAGCGTAACAAGAGAATTTCATTGAAGACTGGGAACACAAAGTTCGGTCTTCTTATATGTTAACACTCTCATCACCGCAATTTACCCAGAAACTAATTTCTTCAACAACAAAAAATCGCACTTACGAAAATAAAATTATTAACAATAATTAAACAGGATTTAGCTACCATAAATTTGGAGAAAAATGGCAGAAAAAAACACAAAATTCCTCCAGTGGTGATGGGTAGCTTCATCTATCGGCACCGTGCAAAAGGTGTTTTTTAATATCGTAATTTCACCAAACACCCGTCGTCTGTTTCGAGTGCCCCAATTCAATTCACTGTATTGGAAAAGACAACTAAATAAATTCACAAGAAATCAGAGGGAGAACAAATGTTTCCGGATTATTGTGTCATGAATCGAAACCAGATGGATAAAAACATGAGTCTTCGGCCGGAAGATCCGTTTGGGCTCCAAGCGGCAGACGGATCCGCCATTGACCGGCGGCTGCTGCTGACTCTGTATGGAGCCGATGATCTTTCAATTACATATCAAAACAATCGATTTCTAATTAATATAAAAATATAGATATCAGATCAAAGGGAAACGGAAGAAGAAGAGATGCAGAAAAGCTGCGAGTTCTGATTAATGGTGGGGAAGAAGATGATTGCGAGAAGATGGGAATAATATGGGTTAATATAGATAGTGTTGAGAAGGAACCCTAGGGCTAAATCTTATATTGGGCTACCTGTTAATTAACACATGGGCTCCCGTTTCACTGGAGTTTCATGTATATACATACCTATATTTTGATTTCAAATTCACAAGAATTGATTTTTAGGGTTAATATGTATCATTAAAAATTTTATTGAAAATTTTGGTTTTCCTTCCCTACTACTCCGTATAAATACTCGCTGCGGTCAATGTTGAGCGTTATCGTTTTCAAAGAAATCTACATCGTTGAAATTTTATCCAAAACGCTAATCTCTAAAGCTATTTTCAAATAAGCCCAAAGTGTTGAACCTTTTCACGGTTAGTGTAATTTCTCCTAATGGTAATTGACTGACTGGGAAGAGCGCACCTAACAAACATTTCTAAAGATTTTCATTGTTAGTTGTTAGGTAATCTCTTCGACTGGTAAAACAATACTCCCTCCGTTCCACAAAACCCTTTCGGTTTTGACTTTGGGAAAAAAATAAGGAAATTATAATTTTGGTTGACTTTCCAATTTCACCCCTGATGTGATGGGAAAAAGTAAGATGTGATAGTTTGGTTATTAGTAAAAAAGTATGATGTGATAGGTATGGTATGAAAAAGTAGGGGTAAAAGTGGTTTTTAATAGAAAATAGAAGTGTTTTGTGGAAAGCAAAAAAACGAAAGAGGAAGGATTTTGTGAAACGGAATGAGTAAATGACAAGGAGTGCACCTAGAAAATACTTAAAAGATCACTTGTTCACCGTTTGAGAATTTCTCCTAATGGTAATATATTAATTAAGAGGAATCCATTCAAGAAAAACTTAAAAAAAGTTTTTACTCTTAGAAATTAAGCTTAAATAGTATTTACTCGTCTACACTTTATATATTATGTTTCGATTTGCGATATTTCAATGACCTTAAGGCTCCAATAAATACTTTTAAAAAGTTTTTGTTGCTAAAAACCAATCTAAAGTAGGTACTTGACAATTATGTTTCGATTTGTGATATTTGAATGACTTTAAGGCAATAGTCAATGATAGGTTTGTCACACAATTTGGTAGCTATAACAACCATTAATATCATACCTCATTGCTAAAAAAACTCATTGATAACTAAATATAGACATGGTAAAATAGAAAGAAAATATTCTACCCCGTATATAATATAACATGAGACCATATTTTCATTCATAACATGAAGCTTTTTGTGGAGGCCTTTTTCTTAACAAACCACCATCTCCGTAATAAAAACAAACATCATTCAATTAACGAGTAAATATGTTTTTCAACATGTCCATAAAAACATATGCAGACATATTCCCACATACTCGTACAATAATAATACAACTGATGTATTAACCATCAACAGTCAAACCTTAAAATGTGAGATTTTCTTTTTTCTTCTTCCTCACATCAACACAACATACCAGTGAAAAGTTCAGTATTTGTCTCAATTTATTCTCCACAGACAAGAAAACAAAGATGAGATACAGAGTGTCTGTCACTTTGTCCACCAAAGAAGGAAGTCTTTGCGCCTGTTGATTTTCTTCTGCAGCTGGAGAAGTCCATAGAGGAGTGCCTCTGCAGTGGGGGGGCAGCCCGGGACATATATGTCGACGGGGACAATCCTGTCGCAACCTCGGACTACGGAATACGAGTAATGGTAGTAGCCTCCGCCGTTTGCACAGCTTCCCATTGAGATCACCCACCTTGGTTCCGGCATTTGGTCATACACCCTAACAAATGAGATCCCAAACGGATTAGATTTAGATTCAATTTTGAAGGACGAATCACCCACCTCTGACCATTGTTCATTCGATATTTCGGGCTACAATAATGTGTGTGTGTGTGTGTGTGGATTAGATTTAGATTCAATGGTTGTTTGGCAACTACTTCAGTGGTTAGCTTCAGTATTTTGAAAAGAGTATCTAACAACATTTATAGTGTTTTCAAAGTTAATCTGCATCGTTGAAAAATAATAAAAACACAAATGCAAATTGAAAATGTTCCCAAACAAGGTCTCAATATATCTAATCCCAAAGTAGGAGCGGGGGAAGGGGGGGATTCAGATTCCGGACAAGCAATACCTCTACCACAAAGAGTAGAGAAGCTAATTACATAAAGGACAAACATTGTAATGACCTCAACTTGCTACAATAACAATATGAAAAATGCATAAAAAGCCATCATGTGTTATCCTTCAAAAATAAATATACACGTAAGTGATAGGTTGATGAGTGAGGGGTAAAAGAGTACATTCATATGACATTTGTAACTGATGTGATGAGTTTTTTCAGCATTACTCATACATATATAGCATTCGGGTAACTAGTTCTGGCACAACTTTATAAGTATATATCGTACCTCAAGTAACAGTCTTTCACAACACACAAATGGCCAAACTCCAAGAACTTGCACTCTTAACATTTCGAAAATTGCTAACATACAAGTACTGGAGGAAAACTAAAGTGATTTGCAAACTTGAGGCTTAAGATTCTTGAATATAGTTTTAGACCTACACTGATCATCTTTTGAAGTTAACTAGAGATGTACTGACCAATGAATGGTTATATTGAAAGAGTGGTGAGACCATACTTTTGGACCTACACTAATCATCTTCGCCAACATTATCGGGCGCTTATATTGAAAGGGTGATGGGACCAATGTCGACTACTCAATTATAGAATACCAATTACTAGTATTAGGTAGTGTTTTCAGATAATGTTATGTTATATCATGATAAATCATGTGTGAAATGATTTCCTAACAAAAAAATAAAGAACATCACATTGAAATATTAGCCTCTAAACATTCACATAGTTAAATTAAAAACATTAAATTACTGGAGTCTATTTCCTTTTACGGAGTGCATTGTTTAGTTCTATTCTCCTTCAACAGAACAAGCACAAGCACAATCTCAGAGCACAGTAGCACACACCACATCCTCAACTTTTCTTTTAGGAGTTACTTGGTTTGGGAATTCACATGGGGGTGGAATTGGTTTTACTAATTCATCGATATTCATTAGTGTTGATATTATATCTGGCTTTTTGTAACTTTTGTTTAATTTATCAATATTTATTAGTGTCATACTAGAAAAGACTGATTAGTGTATGAAAAAACTACTCTGGGTAATTGAGAACTTTACTTTTTTTCACTTCCCATCCAACTGATTAATTAATGTAGGGAAAAATACTCCATTATTACCCCTCCTCTTACAATCATCTGCATTTCCCACCCCCCACCAACCAATAAAAAAGGATGACCGCTCTCTTATGGTCTTTCAAAAGTTGAAACAATTACTCGTAATATAAATCACTATCAACCAATCACAAGGGAAATGAACAAAAAAATGCTAGTTAGGGGTGTAAAAGGATATTAATCGGATCAGATGTGCCATTACCAAATCCGTATCCGTTTATTTTTGTCCGATATCGAATTCGGATACGGATCTTTACGGATACTGAAAATCAAAAAGAAAACCCCCTAAATAGGAGTAAAACATATACCATATCCTTAAAATAGGAGTTCAAACTTAATCTCCTCTAAATAGGAGTAGTTAATTAAATTTTGTTTTCATTTATTCTTCTGGACAAACCCCACCACATCTCAGCTCTATACGGTCGAAAAAGTCACCCGGCTCCTTCCCAATCCCATCCTTCTACGATCTCCTTCTGTGTTCTAATCTTAGTTGCTAACGTTGTCAACCTAATCTCAATCCCTCTTCGCCGCTTCCATCTCCTCTATGCGGCAATGATTCCACCGCCCTCCATCATCTCCCTTTCTACACCCCTCCCCACCATTTTCATATTTCATTGCTCCGATGCCTCTGTCCCTTTGGGTAAGTTAAATTCAATTTGATATTTAATTTGACATAAATAGTTAAATTCAATTTTAAATCTAAAAATTTACTTCTTTGGAATTACTCCGTATTTTGTAAAATTGGTACTAATTCTTTTAGCCTTGTGTGAGTTTGAAACTTTAGATTCAATTTCACATAGGTTGTGACATTTGATTTTAAATTTGAATTAACTTTTTGGAAAATTATTTTGTTAAACATATATAGAAACTAAATGATTATTGTGTTGGCAAATAGAGTTTCTTGATGTTTAACTTTTTTGAGATATGCATTGACATATGTGTTATATGTAACATTATACTTTGGCATATTTGTCATTATACAATGCCAAATGTGACACTATATATTGTCATATTTGACAATATCTCTTGGTTTAGCATTATGCATTTGCATGTATGACTTTATATAATGACATGATTGTCATTATACGTTTACATGTGGCGTTAAATGTGGTCTTGTTTGACATTGTATATACATTTTACTGTAGCAATTTACTGAATTTTTATTTATTGCTTAAGATTTTTGACATATATCTACAAGGTCATGTTTGATACTTTATGAATCTAAGGCAACAGTTAAAGATGATGTTTATCAAGTTTCTTTTCTCTTTCTACGAATGTGAAATCAGAATATTTGAGTTGTGTATTAGGATACACATATAAATATTCAGGTTCAAGGTAGAAATAGCCATATTTATCTGTGGTATTGAACTTTGGGTGTGTTTTTTTGTCGTCCCTTGACAATATAATTAAAAAATCGTTTATTGACAATATTTTAACTTTAGCTATAAAAAAAAGACAACTTAGTACTTCCTCCGTCCCGCTATATTCGTCCACTTTTGACTTTTAAAACTGTTCATCTAAGCACTTTGACTCATCAAATTCTCTCAATGTGTAAGCCTAAATATAGTCATGTGTGATCTTGTTTGATTTGTCTTAACATATAGATTATTAATATATAATTTCTATAATTTTTTAATATACAAATTACAAGATAAAATGGATTAAAGAAGTGTATTGGATGGTGTGCAAAAATGAAAGTGGACAAATATAGTGGGACGGAGGGAGTACTTGGTTGTTNTGACTTTTAAAACTGTTCATCTAAGCACTTTGACTCATCAAATTCTCTCAATGTGTAAGCCTAAATATAGTCATGTGTGATCTTGTTTGATTTGTCTTAACATATAGATTATTAATATATAATTTCTATAATTTTTTAATATACAAATTACAAGATAAAATGGATTAAAGAAGTGTATTGGATGGTGTGCAAAAATGAAAGTGGACAAATATAGTGGGACGGAGGGAGTACTTGGTTGTTATTTTGATAAAAAATAAATATAATGTCTTATTTAATTTTTCGACTCGAAAATATAAATTATTTGTAAAGTCAATCTTTTAATTTAAAAATAGGTAATTGGGTTCATCTCGTAAAAAGGTGACTAACATCATTTAGTTTGTGAATTATAGATTTTGGTGTAAAAAGTTATGAGTGAAATAAATGTTGCAGTTCAATAAATAAATATAAAGATTTTATAATATAATACGGAGTAATTAATTAATTTCCTAATCTATTATACTCTGTAATTGCTACCCATAACTCATACCTCAATGTCGCCCAACCCCCCTTAACGCATGCAAGAAAAGAAAAGAAGGAAAAAGGGGAGAAGAGAGCGTGAGAAGAGAGATAATGCTAATTGAGGACTAAAATTAATTAATTACTCCTATTTAGAGGAGTTTAAGTTTGATCTCCTATTTTGAGAATATGACATAACTTTTACTCCTAATTTGGTCCTTCTCCCAAAATCAAATTCGTATCCGCATCCGTCGGATATCGAATATATTCGTATCCGTTTCCAATTTTGTAAACCAAATTAAACAATACTTTAATTTTCATTAAACTAAATCAAAATATTATTAAATCAAATATAATATTTTATGGGATATTTATATTTCTTATTTTTTATAGTTTATGATATTCTATGATGACTTCATATCATAAAAAGATGTACACAGTACATATAAACACATACACACATATTTTGCATATAAAAATGTCTTATACTTTGAGATATCAATAGAGAATCAAAATTTAAAAATAACAAAATTAGGAAAAACTATATATAACGGATCGGATACACGAATAAACGGTTATTTAAACGGATGTCAATGCGGAGCGGATTATAAACGGATCGGATGTGTGATTACCAAAGTTGTATCCGTTTAGCAATCGGATATCTTTTATCGGATACGGATAATAATCGGTTTTAACGGATACAGATATTTTCCATATAAACGGATAAGGATGCAGACGGTAATCGAATTTTCGGTTATCCATTTACAGTCCTAATGCTAGTTAATGCTATTTTACGTTTGTGCTTCAATTCATTATTATTTAGAGGTGAAATCAATATTATGAATTGGAGCAAGATTTAGGCTCAAGTATACTAAAAACATAAAGTCTTAAGATATACGTTCAGGGTCATCTACAAAGGGGAGCAAGTGGACCATTTGCTCAGGGCCCCCAAAGTTGGGTGAACCCCCAAAGTTTAAATTAGTGTGTTCCATACCTGATCAAATTGTGTGTCCTAATTATAGGATGGCAGGAGTAAAAACTAAAATATTGATCTAGATTTAAGTTTTTCTCTATGTTCCAACTTTATGTAGCAACAAGCACTATAACTTTCTTAATAGCGGTTCAATTTATGAATTTAGCTCAGGGCTGCGAAATAATACAGGACGGCCCTGGATATGTTTTCCTCATAAAGCACATCCATGGTCCCACATATACCCTAATTTTTTTGCTCATTATACTAAATAGGAATTTTTTACCGGAGTGCATTTTATCATAAATCCGTCTTTGTCTCAATTAGTCAATTATACTGAAAATTTAAATTCCATTGATACTCAGTCCCTCTATTAACAGATCCTTTAAAAGAATGGTTAGTGAACCATATGATTCACAACATAATCCATGTGAAAGCCTTGTTTTGAACTTGATTTTTGAGCATTACTGAGAAGAAAATAGTATAGAGGATTATGGGGAATACGTGAACCAACATATGAGTTATGGAAAAACCGTTTCAAGACTTACTCCAAAATATTTTACTCTGGTACAATTGAACCAAAATAATTTCAGGGGCTTTGAGACTGTTTCTATACTTTAGGGGCAAGAATCTACCTTAACTATATTAAGAATGTATGGGTTCCCACTGTCCGGCATATATTTTAGCACCCTTACGCACTGTACACATCCCAGGATTAGTAGCCCGTACAATACAAAAATTTTATGTACTGCCAAGAATAATTTTGGACCGAGAGAGAAGTATGCAACACTAAAACTATATAAAGAAGTCCGAGACCAAACTCTTCGCCAAAATCTCAAAGTTCTGTTAGTAGAAAGAGGCAAATATCTTTGTTATACTATCTTGCACGGATTCTTCAAACAAGTTCCGTTTTCCGTCCCCAAAGCGTTCCCGTTCCGATACTTGGGATGTCCCAACACCCAAATTCTTTGTAAAAATTTGGAAAAGATGGTGTTTCCATGTTCTCGACCCTGTCCCAATACGATTACCCATCCCCATCTCAGTTGAACTTACTTGTTATAAGGCTCTATTAAATGAAGAGTTTAGAATACAATAATCTCTATAAGGGAATCCTAATTTACACTCCTAAAGTCTGAATACCCATAAACAATCCTCAGATTCCTCAATAATCTGATGCATATGGAAATTAGTCATCACTCGTCAGCAAGGAAAGCCCCAATTTAGCTCATTCAGAAATTGTTAGTGTAGTAAATACGAATTACGCAACTAAGAGAAGTATAGAACCAATGTATTATGCATATCTGGGTGCATATAGATAGCTAAAGAAATAAGGAAAAGCAAATTAAAATATTGGAAGACGCACTTGCGAAGAGCAGGGGCCATTTTGTTGGTGAGAGTGCCGGCAACAATCATGCAATCGGACTGCCTCGGGCTGGGCCTGAAAATTATACCGAACCGGTCGAGATCGTAGCGCGCAGCTCCGGTATGCATCATCTCGACAGCACAGCAAGCGAGGCCGAAGGTCATGGGCCAGATGGATCCGCGGCGGGCCCAATTCATCAGATCGTCGACTTTCGAGATGACAAACTCGGCTGTCTTAGACAGTCCCGACGGAGACGAGGTGGAAGGAGGAGGCGGCCGCGAGTAAGTAGTCGGCGTGGACGACGGTTGTGGCGACAAGACAGGGAGAGTGGTGTGGATTGTCGCGGCGCGTTGTAGAAGAGGCGCCGCCGGGGCCAGCCGCCGGGCGTTCCGAACCAGGAGAGCCATTTTACCGCTGAGATAGCAGGAAATGAAGATGGCGATTTCGATGTTCGCTCCAACTTTAGGTTGCAAACTGGGTCGGGTTGACCCGAGGGATACAGATAAGTGAAGAAGATAATGCCCCTTGACCGCGGTTCTATGGTCTTTGGCGGTACAACACCATGAGGAATAAGTGTAGGAAAATGCTAGGGGTAGTGTACCCAAATATCCCACTCCTCCTCCATTACCACAAAAAAGGTAAATAAAATTTAAAAAAAATAAAAAATAAAAATAAAATAAAATGAATGGTGTGGAGACAAGTGATGTACATTTAGGATATATCTTTGATGTATCCCTAACATCTTCCATAAGTGTATGGTCATGAAAGAGGAGTATTAGCCTCTCCACGTTGGTCCCCATTAGGGTCAGCTTTAGAGATTAACATTAGCGTTTTAAATAGATTATCTGATTATAATTTTAAGCGTAAGCATTTTTAGAATTAATCTACATCATTAAAATTTTATTCAAAACACTAACGCTAATAAAAAACGTTGTTCCTAAACAAAGTCGTTGTGCGTTGGCAAAGACAAGAAGTGTCAAAAGATAGATCTGAGTTCGATTCCTGAAAGCTGTGCTAGGGTAATTATGTTAAACATAGCACCTTTGCAAGTATTGGTTGTAAGCTTCACTTCCTGCCATGAATTTACAATTAAAATTTAATTACATACTATCAGTGACCGCTCAATCAAATCTGAAGGGGTCCTCGTGAATGAGGTCCATCCTTTTTATGATAGGGGAGTATTAAATCCACATAGTAGTTGGCCCAAAAATATTTGATAAGACTCCATTCCGTTTCTCTTCAATTTATTTTGTTTATCCATTACTTATTTTTATTAAAGTTGAATCAAGTCAGATTAGCAACAATTACTATTATACTGCAATTAGATTTAATCATTACAAATTCACATCTAAGTCTAGTTGATTTTGTATTTATAGGTCATGTATTTTTCGTTTAATTGATAATCAAATTTTATTTAGTTTAACTACAAAAAGTCAATCTAGAGGAATATAATAGAAGTATTAAAAATGTAATATGAGATCCAATGTCCAAACATTAAATGATCAGTTTTTATTTCTACCCTCCAATCCATTTTGCTAGTCTCTTTTATTATTTTTTTAAAATCATACATAGAGTAATTTTTTAAGAATTAACACGTATTTTAATTAAGGAAAAATCAATATCATTACACCAAAAAATTATCAATTTTATTTAAATACTCTGAGGTTCAATAAATGACTTTGGTGCTTCCAAAAATTTTATATATTTACATGAATGTCACAACAATGACATAAGTTTACATTGTTGCTCCAACACTTAAAGAAGCCAAAGATATGAACATATATCAGTTTTGGGAGCAGTAATGCTAAATATTTGAAAATTTTAGGAGTATCAATGTCATTTATTGAATATCTAAGAATTTATGTAAAATTGCGTAATTATAGAAATAATAATGTGAATTTTTCGTTTAATGAATTGACTTAAGATTACTCTAATTAAACATAACTCGAAACGGGCCCAACTATAAACAAAATAGAGGAGCAAATATAAGTAATGATATGGGTATTGTAAAATTATGCCCACATCCATTTGAGCCTGCAAGTTTGGGTCGGGTCCGTGATCCATTGCAATTTTTAGGTGGTTTTGACTATCTAGATTCTATTTAATTGTAAAAACTTTAAATGGTTTTTTTTGTGAGAATGGTCCAAGATTCACTACTAATCATTGAAATTAATTCAGCAAAACATCATAAATAGTAATGATAATTTAAATTGAGACAAATGGAATAATATTATTTCTTAAAAATCATTCAAAAAATTAAATTAAATAGAATATTAAATGAAGTTAGGGGGTGACAAAGCCCATTTCTCGTGGCTATGAGAGAAATGAGATGCACATGTTAATAGATGCTTCTTTAATAGAGTGCAAAAAAATAAAAAACACAAATCTTCATTCCAATCTGAATAGAGACTTCTGCAGTAAACAATAATATTACGAGTAGCTTCAATTTTGGGAGCACTAATGCATTATTTGTTTAATACCATGTTTATGATGATTTAATGAAATGATATCTGTAATTAAAAACATGCTATTGATCATATCATTTGTTTTAATTTGCATTTCTTTCACGCGCAAATGAGAGATGAATAAGGTAATGTGTCATATATTTAGAATTTTGTATGTAATAAAAAATGATTAATCGAGTTGCAACGAAACTCGATCCCTTGTCATTCCTCCGCGACGATGCCGTCATTAGGTTAGTGGCCTTGTGGCTGTGGGACTTGGGTCCCACACCGATACACACATTAATTTCTGTTTATTTTTTTAGGAGAAAAAGAACATTAATTTGATAAGTCCCACTTCGATACACACGTAATAATAACTGGGTGTGAAACCCATGTGTGGCCTATAAATATAGAAGTCCCCACTTTGGTAGCCATTTTCACATTTAATGGTCTTATGTCTCCACAATGCCCCCACTCGGCCATTTGTGTTGTCATATAGTGGTTGCACATGCACTTAATTTGGATGGTTAAACTTGGGATTTTAAGGTAGAATCTCCATAATGACACTGTAAAAATATTACCCTACTTATTATGAAAATGATTCTCTATTCTCGTATTTATTGGTTTATTGCTAATAAATACTTCATCCTTCCTAAATTTATCTTCTCAGTTACTATTCACATGGTCAAATTTAAATAACTTTCTTTACCTATTTTTGTTAGTTATTTGATAAAATAATATAGTCTTGTCACCTCTTCTTTTGTAGAACTTTTGATGTAGTTTTTAAATATATAAATTTTATTTTTTAATTTTACACCTACAATAAAATAAATTGAATTAAAAATAAAGCCGGTCAAACCTCGTAAACTGTTACGGGACTATTATTATTATTATTATTATTATCATTATTATTATTATTATCATTATTATTATTATGGTAAGGAATTATTTATAGTTAGTTAATTATTATTAGGGAATAATATATTTGTTAGGTGATTATTTAGTTGCCTTTTATAATTAGGATTCTTAATTTATTTAGTTACCCTTTATTATTTAGATTCTCTAGAGTTGGAGCCTATAAATGTATCCATCACCATAGTATTATCAATCAATGAATAAACAAAATACTTTCTCCTAAACCTCAATCTTTCTCTCTTTCTCGCCTCTTTTGTTCTTGGAGCTTGAAGGTGCTCGAAATCCTTCCCTATCCCGATACGATATCGTATCAATTGGTGCTTTCATTCTTGAACTCGCCCAAAAAAATACAAAAAAAAAATCTACGGCACACGCAATGGATTCTCTGTTGGACAAAACTCTTGGTTTACTCGAGAAAGTTCTACGGGGACAAATTGAATTTTATGAAGGCGTGTGTGCAGTTGAAGATTCCGTGGATGGAATTATAAAGAAACTTCAGGCATTCCGTCCAATTGAAGGTCAACCAAAATTTGATTTCGAGGTATATGCGTTCTCCGTAGAGGCCTTTTGCTTAATACAAGATTTAGTTCGTGGTCTCCCAATTATGCCAAGCCTGATTCCTATAGAGCTATACATTTTCAAAACAACCATGATGCGCTCTATTAAGAAACTCATCGGCACTCCACGAGATTCGGCCCTTCCTGTACCTGTGCAAAACACAACTTTGCAGGACCAGGAATTTAAAAAGGAAATTTTTATTGATCCTATTGGTGTTCCTGATGATGATCTTATGATACATCCCATAGATGTTGTTCATGTTGCCGTTGTTGATGTTGTTGTTGATGTTTCTGGTGACGATCAACGAGACCACACTGTCCAAGCAAAATATTCAAGTGATGGTGTCATTTTTTATGGATGCACGGAAACATTTGGGGCATCAGAAAGTGACGTTGTTGTCCTTTATGATTCTGGGGATGTCACGCGTGTTAGCATGATTTTCTTCTTATTGGTTCTATGGAATTGTTTGCTTGGAGTTGTGAATGCTTTGCGCTTGACTGATTTTTTTGATGCCCCATTCATAAAGGTCTTTGACCCCGGAGGATGTCCGTTCACAGCGCATGATTCCTCGTTTTTCTAGATTTCCAACTTGAAGACAAGTTGGTTTTCGAGGCGGGGAGAGTGTTACGGGACTATTATTATTATTATTATTATTATTATTATTATCATTATTATTATTATGGTAAGGAATTATTTATAGTTAGTTAATTATTATTAGGGAATAATATATTTGTTAGGTGATTATTTAGTTGCCTTTTATAATTAGGATTCTTAATTTATTTAGTTACCATTTATTATTTAGATTCTCTAGAGTTGGAGCCTATAAATGTATCCATCACCATAGTATTATCAATCAATGAATAAACAAAATACTTTCTCCTAAACCTCAATCTTTCTCTCTTTCTCGCCTCTTTTGTTCTTGGAGCTTGAAGGTGCTCGAAATCCTTCCCTATCCCGATACGATATCGTATCATAAACACAAACGAAGAGATAGTTTTCGGACGGAGGGAGTAGTTTTCTATTTGTAAACTGTTTATAAGTTGAATATTCTTCCATGCTCTGAAAGATTCATAAATGGTGAGACGTAATTTTTTAACGGGTCTGGTGAAAATGGATAAATGAAAAAATTGATTTAAAAATTAGTAGGTAAGACCTATTTATTTTTTCTGACTTTTATGGAGTTTATAAGTAAGTCATTAAGCTCAGAAAAGACGTTACCAACTTATAAATTAAAAATAATTTGTAAATTGTTTTTTACTAAAACTAGCTAGGGGAAACTAGGGGGGAACATAAATTGTGATGTGATGAAATAGTGACGTGGGGGGCACAATCTCAAGTGGAGCACCTTGGGAAAGAAACTAAAGGACACAATCGGAGACAATGCCCTTAGCACCACCTTCGACCATTGAGCTAAGGGCACTTCCGTAAAAGAAGGCCACTTATATTCTTATTGCCATTGGTTATGCCCCCAAAGGCGGAGGGCCAATGCTTACCCAATTATGATACGCTCTTCTATCTCAATTCATGTTGTATATGCCAAAATCATACTACCTCCGTCCCATTCTCTTTGTCCACTTTTGACTTTTGGAACTGTTCATCTAAGTACTTTGACTCATCAAAT